CATTCGAAGCCATGGAAACCACAGCATACAAGGAACTCATTGCGAAGCTGGCTATGCAATAGTTAATAATAGGATGAGGTGTACGCAGAGCAACTATGAAAATGGAAAAGAGAACTGCTGCGGACCAAACAGGGGCCCTTGATTCAGCAGGTTGGCTCCAGATCGCGGGGCTGCTTCTTGCAATGATCGATTGTAAACGTCGCCATAAGTTCCCAGAGCGTAGACGCAGTCGCGCAAGCTTTGCTTTAACCCCTCTCCCCATAGCAAGACCACTGGGATTGCCGTCACATTTGCAGGGCCAATTGCATTCTCGTCCGCGAAGATCATGGTCATTACAACCCAGAAAACAAAGTCTGAAAATTGTTTGTCGTCGTCTGTTGTCATCATCCCCAAAGCTTGTAGGCCCTGGCCTGTCGTGTCATTGGAGTGAAAGTGATAGTATGGAGGAGAGAAGGTGTAGCCAAGATAGTCCGTTTGCATGGTAACCCGTACTCCCGCGACGATGTCCAGTAATCCATCGTCCAGAGCATTCCGACGAGAAACACCGGTGTCCTCAATTTCCACAAATTCGACAGCGTCTGTGTCTCCCGCGAATATCGCAGCAGCAATGGCTTGACAGAGGATTGCATCCAAGCCAGAATTCGCGTTCCCAGGCACGGGGATACCGCACCTCAAGTGGCCTCTCGCCAGAATCCGATCAAGAGCTTTGCCCGGGATGGGCCCCTCTCCCCGAGTGTCCACAGATCCAAATGGATAGGAGAACAAGAGCCCTTTCGAAGCTTGAAGATCCTTGTTGTGTTTGCCGTAAAGAAGATTCAGTCCTTTGCGAGGCATTAGATGCTGGAGATGACGTTGATACAGCTCCTCGTAGTTTCCCAGATGGGACACAATTGCTTGCATCATTTCGATCGTTCTCCCACTTTCCTCACCTCGAACCAAGATGGATTCCATCTCGTGAGCATTTGCTTGAGTTATATTGTGTGCTTCTGCGAAGTAAAAAATATGGACACCAAGTCTATAATTGTCCACTATACTCAGCGGCAACCCTGTCTGGTGGCAATGATAAGGGCTCGCGAGAGAAAAGTTTGTGCCCATGAACGTACTCTCCCGCGTAGCCTGCGTCGTATATGCGAGTGCTTGGGATGTTGGGTGCTTCGGACGCCATGACATGACACTCTCCAGACATGAAGTTGTCAATCATCTCGTCCACCAATACGGAAGGAATGACGAATCCACCGGGGAACAATTCTTGCAGAAGGAGCTCATGAGTCGTCCCGGTAATGACGCACACCTTCAACGAGCGACAAGCTCCAGAGATACTGTCAAGGTTGTCAGCGCACTCCACATACGAAGGTACACCACCGAACATCATGCCCGCATAGAAAAAGGGCGCAGAGAATTGAAACCCAGTTTGCGCCGATGCCTCGAAAACTTGTCGTTCCATGGTAACAGTTGTTGTTATCGCCAAGACATCGACATCCCAGTTAGCTAGCTTGATGAAACGATCCTTAGTCACAACGTTGACGAACTCAATATTTGTAGTTGTGCCAAAGACCGCCACGGAGATCGCTCGACAACTGTTCCAGATGAATGGCAAGAGGGCAGATCAAACAGATATGTAAGACGTTTGTTGACGTGGATGCGGTGGTCTTAGCCCATGATTGTAACATGATCAAGTGGTTGTACGGCTGTACACGTACTGGTCAACATTCATTCCATCCATTTCTCCGGTCACCGGATCGGGTTGACTAAAACCTTGCACATCACCTTTCCTCAGCAGTCCAGTATGGTTAGATGACATCCAACGATGACAAGCACATAAAGGCCTGAGCCTCTTACCTGATATACCACATCGGACAAATCCTCTTTCGAGGACTGCTTCTAGTGTTGAACCTGTGGGCCGCACACTACCTTCTTCGACCGCCTCGGTCTCTGCACGTTGGCCATGATGGCACCGGGGTTGCTGCACCACAACACGCAACAACAGCAGCCAGCTCTAGCAACTCTAGTAGCAAATCGATATTCCCGGCTCTGGCCTCCGCACCAACACATTTGCACTGACCGCAGAATAGGTATTGTGAGTTGCCGTCGGGTCTCGCAAAAAGCAAGATTCTGTTGCTCGGCGTGGAGTCCGTCGTTTGGCGACCTTGTTCAGGCCCCACGGACAAATAATCGTAGAAAAGGCCGTCGAGGTCTTTGCGTGGGTCCACTGTGAACGTCATGTAGCGCCCATTCCCTGAAATCTTGTTATTGTATCTTTGGTTCTGCAAGCTGCATCCAATGTTCACAAACAAGAGCCAAGCATTCTGTAATTGTATGATGCCGCCACGACGATTGAAGCCAAGATAGTACTGATCCACGAGAGAATCTAAGATGGGTTGGGCCAAGAGTTCCACAATACAACTCTCCTTGGTGTAGCCCAGGAAACGTCCAGCCTCCGGAAGTCCTTTGACGGTTGAGATGCATGACAGCTTGAGTGGCTTCTTCTTTTTCTGAACCTGTTGTGCGGCCTTCGCCTTTTGCTTTGCTGCCTGCTTCTTGGTTTCTTTTTCCCGCTTCAGCGTATCCGCGTCTTGTTGATCGGGGACAGGGATGAGCAGGGGTGGCGCTGGATCGCTTTTGCCCGTTTTCCATGTCTGGTTTGCATACCAGATCCCAAGCAAATTCTTTGTTGTTCCACAATCAATGTGATATGCTGCCTTGGGGGATACAGATGCTGCGACATGCTGTGCATCGAGGAAAGATATTCGCCATGAAACAATGAGATGAGCGTAGTTGTCGAAGAATCCATCGGGCATGGTTTGTTTGCTGCGCGCAAGGGCCTGGTGCAACAGATGCGGCAACACTGCAGCGTCCAAACAGGCATATTCAATCTGCGAGTTCGTCAAGGGTCGCCCCTGCCAGTTGGAGCACTGCTCGGCCTTGTCGAGTCGTTTCTTCAACAAATAGCATGCGCTCTTTTGCAGGGACTTCAAACTTTTGTGGGTCGACTTTGGAAAACAGCTATGGAATAGTGTATCCATGTCCACCACGGATTGCATGGTTCGGAAGCAGGGCATGTGAGGAAATGAAACGGCAAGTTTCGATATGTCTTGCCCAATCCCAAATCCTACTATGAGTATATTCGGATTCATAAAGAGAGTACTCAGGGTCTCGCACAAGACCGCCTCAACCTGTGTCATCGGTGTCTCTGGATCTTTGACCGCCCCTTGACAGAGCTCTTGTAGATCGATGAGAAAAGATTTTGTGACACTGCTAAGCTGTAGTGTCGCCACAGGGTTCTCGCGTCCCCTGTCTCTTGCCGGCTTCCATTCGCAGTCCAAACCCCATGATCGTTGTAAGAGTCGGTCGTCACGGTCCTGGGAATCGTTGCCGCCCGGCAGCTCTAGAGTAAGTGAAGCCTCCTTGGAAAGTATAGCGACAAGACTCTCCTCGTTGATCAAGGTCGCCACCAGCGTATCGGACTCTTTCCCTGAAGCATCGATCGTGGGCAAGTCGTTCAAGCGCAGACGAGGGAGAGACTCAAGGGCCATATCGTGTTCTTCGTGACCGGGCATGGGATCTTTGGACTTGCCTTCGTTCTGTAACTTATCGCTTTCGCTTTCTTTCTTTTCCTCAACAGACTTTGAAAGAAAATCTTTTGCTGGCGGCAGCTTTGATCCCTGAAGTCTCTTGGCGCAGGTGGAATGGTTGACACGGAATCTATCGGCGCGTGATTGTCGAATTTCTTTTGTGGTCGGCCTTACACTCCTGGGCTCAAAGGATTTTGGTAACAGCTTGTAAACAGGCTGATTTGTGTCGATGGGCTGCTCGAGGATGGAAGTCAACGTTCCTCGAAAGTTGTCGAGCCCCGCAACAATGTCCACACCGTAGTTCGCGGCATCAATTTCGAAACGTGGGTCTAAATCGCCATACTGCTTTCCATCACCACGCGAAACCCGATAGTTCTGAAACTCACCTCCCGCCAGTATTTGTTGGTGTTCAGTTTCAAACATCAGCAGGCACGTTTCTGGTTGTAGGTGTGTCACAGACATACTGCATGGTGTCTGTCCTTTGTTGTTGACAATCAGCAAGTTTGCGCCCCTCGAAAGCAACAGTTTCACCGCGTCGTCACGATCCTGTGTGATCGCGTAGAATATTGGCGACTTTCCAAAGTTTCCCTCTCCCGTGCTGATTACATTGACAAGGTCCAATCCGTGCTTGTTTCCAGCGTCAATAAGGAGTTCGATTGACTCCAGATCCCCTTTCCACGCCGCCAAATGCAATGCATTCTTGGTAAAGTTCCCATCGGTTCCCAATTTAACCAACTTGGAATCAATCGAGAAGGAAGATCAGCGAGACACGAGATGGAGTGTTTGCGACTAGTTAGCCAGGACAGTCAACTTACCAGTGGAAACCGTTCCCCAGCAACTTCTAGTATCTCTCTAACGATGCCGGCTCTCCCCTTCTTTGCAGCCGAGTCTCTGAGCTTCTTGGACAGCGTCTTCATGCAAACTTCCGTGTCCTCAGCACTGCTTTGTTGTTGAGGCTGCTGCTCTTGTGTGGTACCTGGGTCAGCAGTGGCAGCCATTGGAATCGCTCCAGCATCCTCCGCGTCAGCAGCAACTCCAAAGTCGTAATGCTGGTAGACGTTGCCATCTGCCAATTGTCGTTTCTCCATTCGACGCAGAGTCTCACAAGTACTCGGTAACAGTTTCCCCTGTGCCATACCACAAGGCGTGTTGCCATTGCGGTTTACAATCAATACGTTGGCACCGTGATCGAGGAGGAATCGCACAACGTCGTCACGACCTTGATTTGTCGCGTAGAACAGAGCGGTCTTTCCGTAGTTCCCATCCCCCGTACTGATGGAATTGACCAGATCTAGTCCAAACTGCGTCCCTGCATTCACCAGCAGCCGAATGGATTCCAAGTCTCCTTTCCATGCTGCCAAATGAATCGGGTTGCGACTGTAGCTGCCAGGTTCAAAGAGCTTTTCGCACGTAAAGGTAACTTGCTACATGAGTGACTCTATCTGCTGTCAGGGCCCGTCAACGTAAATGGTAGCAGGGAACTTACTTGTGGGAACCGGTCTCCAACCTTGGCAATTACATCTTGAATGGTGGCAGCACTTCCCTTTTTAAGACATGCATGTCGCAATCTATTGGATAAGTACTGAACACCATCATCAGCAACGACTGATTCAGAGTCTGCTGATGGGGAGAGAGCATTAGCAGCATCTTGTACTGCTGATTCGGATCCGCCTATCGGAAGTGTGTTGCTTATTGTTGCCGCTTTTGCGTTTGTGGTGGTAAATCCTGCAGTGTAAACTCCAGCATTGAGCACCTTGGCCAATCGTATCAACACTGCTGATTGGATCCGTACCGCATGGCGAAAGCTTCCAGAGCCAATGCTCAGAAAACTGCCCCCTTTTGTTGTTGACAGGAGCGCTTCATCCAGGATCAATACCATGGGTCTGGTATGTCCCAAAGGGGGTATAGTCCCCGACATGTATCCTGTCAATGCTTCTGCCTGGCTGGTTTCTGCCAATTCCAAGTGGGCGACTTGAAGAAGGACATTGGCTTCCTGCGCAGTCTTGTGGTGTGTGTCTGCCTCATGCTTATCCTTCGACGATGCACCGATGATCCGTGTGGCAATACAGGTTGTTGACTGAGCCTCCTTGTCGTCGCAACTCACTGCTGAAGCAGTAGCGGCAGCAGATTCCACAGAACATTCTAATAACCTTTCTTTGAGAAGCTCTTCATCGACTCGATCTCGGTATCTTAGTGCCGTGGCAAAAAAGAATGACTGGTCTAAATCGTTACCAGCAGAATCTGCCACGGTACCTGCACTTGTGGTGGTGGAATTCTGCTGAAACTGGACCTTCCAAATGAGCGTCTTGACAGGAACGACACGTATTTGTTCTTCTCCTGAAATACATGTCATCAACTCGCTTCTGTCTTCCTCTGCTTCTTCTACAAACTCATAATAAACAGCATCACTCCTGGGATCAACCACTGCCTGGCTTAGTCGGCTCTTTAGCAAGTCCATCGAAGTTTTGGTTGACTAATACCTATCCGGATAGAGGCCATTGGCTTGATGCTCTGACTTGAGATGGTAGCTGTTTTCCTTTGCCCTCTGGCTTTGTCAGTGTGACAGCAGCTGTGACAGCTAACGTGTTTCGTCTAACCTGATCTTTACTGCACCACCGCAGCTCAAGGTGGGTCCCGGATGACCATCCGCACGTGCTATAACAGCCTGCTGAGCGGCTAGAACATGAAATACTTCAAAGCAGCTTTCAAAGCCACACCTCGCAGCAGCCCGAATACCAAACGACCAAACCACGCCACAACCAAGAGACTTTCTTGATCGCTGCTTCTCTTGACATTACAGTATTCTTTTCTTAGCCTAGCAACAGTAGTACAACCACACCATGACCACCGCACATAGGCCTACGTGGAAGGCAGCTGTTGGCCGAGCGCAAGAGGGAGGATGGACCGCAGGTGGATCCGTGAGCACGAGTATCTCCGCTCTGGACGTGGCCGCTCACACCAAGCTCAAGACGCGCAGCGGACAACAGTTGATTGACAAGAAAAAGGCGCTCAAGGAGTCACTGTTGGCGTTGGAAAAAGCAGAAGCATCTTCCAGCAAGCACAAGATCGGAAAACGTCCCATTGTGGAAGCCATTGAAGCCGAAGGACGGCAAAAATTATTGAAACAAACGACGGAAGTAGACGAAGTGGCCTTGAAGAAAAAGTACGATGACGAGGATAGAGGAGGGGACGACTCGGACGGATGGTCGGATGTAGACAGGGACGCCTCAGACAAGGATAGTGATTTAGATGCCTCTGATTCGGATTCAGACGACGACGACAGCGATGACGACGACGATGACGAAGCTGCGCTGCAAGCGGAATTGGCGAAAATACGGGCGGAACGAGAAGCTGTCAAAGCCAAGGCAGAAGCGGAAGCAGCCGCAGAGGAGGAAGAACAAATGGGAGAAGCGGCTATGATTGGAAACCCACTTTTGGCATCGGGGGAAGCATCGGCAAAAATGAAACGAAAATGGAATGAAGATGTGGTCTTCCGAAACCAGGCGAAAGGAGAACCAAAGCCCAAAAAGCGGTTCATCAATGACACTGTCCGCAATGATTTCCACAAGCGTTTCTTGAACAAGTTCATTCGATAACTGAAACACAAAGCAAAACAAAACAAAACAATGCGCATGTCCGGGAGGTGGGAGGAAAGTAGGTTCACCGACTTCTCAAGAGGTTATTAGTTTAAATGGAAGTCGAGGAACAACTCTGATCAGCTACCAAATCGAGTGCACTATAACTCTTATGACGGTACATCTCTACCCTCCCGCTTTTGAAGTGAGGTGTTGTAGAGGTCGCTAGCTTTGCCTCCGAAATCGCGCTGTAGCGACGCCACCTCACTGTGGCACAATCCGCTGCCATTGCAGTTTTGGACGTGCACCCCATCGTTCAAAACAATCCGTATCTCTCTCGAGCTCGTTTGCTCAGCAGCGCCATTGTCGTTCCTCACATCAAATAAACGCTGTCCATGTGGGCAATTGCAGAAAGCTGCTCCGGGTTCTCACTGGAGCGAGCTTGGCAGTCATTCCAACTCGGACCAATACAGCACTGGCCACCATGATACCGGTAGCTAGCGTGTTGCTTGGAGTGCCGATACTCGGCAAGTGCAAATAGAGACAACGTTTGGCACCACTGTGGAATGTGGCTGGATGCAGTGAAGAAATAGTGGCACCGACAGGGAGCTGGAAAGAACGGGAACAGGAGGAGTCGCGTCACTTTGTCGGCTTGAAGATGGCTGATTTGAGCAAGAAAGCTTCTGCAATGGATCCCAACTTGCCTGGGTTCTTTGAGTTACTCAGACTTTCAAGTAATGGCCAGACGAACTATGTCAAAGCTACAGCCACTGAAGCGAGAACGGTTTTGAACTTGATAGTGACAAAGCCTCTGCAGGACAAGCCCAACAATCTAGCTAGCCAGCCAGTGGCTAGCTAGGTTCTCTCAGCCTGTTAGTCCAGCGCCAACTTCTAGCTATTCAGGATGTGCGAGGTACAATGTATGTGATGGTGTAGCAATCCATTATGCATTACGGCTACTAGCTAAAGTAAGTCACATGGTGCCAGTGGCACCGCTCCAGGGGCAGGTCGCGAACATTCAAGGCGTTCCAATCACCTTGATCCGTGCTCTCTTTCTCGCGTGGAGTGCATTCGTTATGAAAATATCTCACGGCACATCACTTGTGTGCGTTGTTGTCGGTCAGCCCCCGAGTGTCGACATCATGGTCGCCCCTTCTCTTTTAACACGTAGATTACAAGCCTTCTTGTCTATCTAGGTGGATGCCTCTATTGTTGTTGCTGCCAGTGTCTCTTCCGTCACTGCCTCGACAACACTGTCCCCCGTCGATTGACAAGACGACAGGATGATGAACCATCCAAAGGAGATACATGCCATGAACAGGACTCTCATATGATCAGGGACACAGCTAAAGCTGATGGTTTGTGCGGGCAGCCAGACGGCCCAGTACTTGTAGAGCAGGCCTTCATCTCGAATGTCCGACAAATACTTGTCCAATCCTTCGGACAAGGGATAGTCAAACATGACTGCCTTGATAAAGTAGACAGGTGGCAACCACATCAGTGGGGCACTGACAAAGTTGTCAAAGAGAACCGACTCGACCACGTTCTTGAGGTCATGGTTGGTTCCAAAGAGATGAGGAAACACAATGTCGTATTCGATGTGGCACATGAGACCAATAAAGATTCCCCCGTAGATAATGTAGGCGGCATTGCGACGCAACTCAATGGCCCGTTCACTGCTCGTCCAACTTCGTATTTGAGCGACACAGTCGGCCAGACTGGCTTTTACACCACACGTCAGGACGGCTGCCTGCAGAGGGTAGGTTTGATAGAATGTATTCACGTCTTCTAACGTCATGGAAAGAGTTGTGGTGGTGGTGGTTGTCGGCGATGACAAAGTCTTTCTTGCCTGCGCTGTGCTACTGCTTAACGGACGAGGACTTATCCGAGAAGTGGGCAACGACGGCTGAAAGCAATGACTTGATGAAGCTAACAAAGCAGCAATCAGAGCTGACAGAGCTATCTTAGAAGGGCTACGAGTGGGCTTGGTGGATGGCATTGTTCTTTGTTGATACGATACGGTAGATGTTGCGAAGGGTTTTATGTTGTCTTGTTGGCAAATTGTGAGCAATGTCTTGTCTTGTTTTTGCAGGGAATCAGGGAATCGGTGGCTCTTCTGAAAATTGCAACAGATCGAAAAGCAATCTGGGGTTCCTGGCTCCGGATTGGTTTTTGAAATGCGACCTCGTGAGGTTTCAACGAAAATACACAGATGGCTTGATGTGCTGTTGTCTTTCGTGCGATTGTTGGCCAGGACAAGTGAGGATAGGGAGATGAGAGATTAAAGTCTCAGATACAACATTCTACACTTTGTTTTTAGATGGACTAGACTACTATTTTGAAGTAGTAGATTGTCCGTCTATGGTTGCCTTCTAAAGAGCCTGTCCAAGATGTTGATGATGCATTGGATTGAAATAAGAAGATTATGCTGTGGCTGATTGTGCCTTGCTGCAGCTTCTAAATTAGCCAGTTGTTGGCCTATGCAAGCGGATCCTTACCGGTACCGGTACTCACTGAGCATCATAGAAAAAAGGCTGACAAAGTTTTGATCAGAGGCTTGGGCCAGCTTGGGGTACTATTAATAGCTAGCTCTAGTCTTATAAGAGTATTTTGGGTTTCAAGACAATCAGAGCCCGTCCACCAATGACCAATGATACCGGCATTGATACCAATACTGGTACTAGTTACCTGGAAATCATCTAAACCAAAAGGAATGATTAATGCAGACTCATCTACAGCAACGAAAGTCTCCATCTCCCAGGATTGTATTACCTCCAACCAGCGGTAACTTGTAGACTTCGTGAAGAAGCATGCGGCACTCGCTGGCGGTAGAACGGTCATTTTGCCGTCCTCGGTCGTCAGCATGCAACAAGACCGCAACCCTATGCATGCACCATGGATCACGGTTGGCAATCCCACCACGCACGGAATTGCTTGCTGTCATTGTGTCGCGCACTGTTTCGATGAGGTTTCCAGGGACCACGTTACGTTTCGTGTTGCTGCAATGACTACCAGCTAGAGAGGGAACATACATGCTTCTTCGCAGCTGGAAAGACACTGCATCAAGAAATTCAGTCATAGTGGACTCCAATCAGTTCTTAAAAAACCTAACATTCCGAGAGGACGACGACGTTTTCTTCTTGCTTGGTGCGTTGCCACGAAGCAATTGAGGCGAGGCCCTCCTTAGCTGTCTTGGAGGTTCTAAGTTTTGCCTGGCTGGCTAGGTCATAGACTACGAGTACTGGCAGCGTCATCGTTTCCTCGCGAGTCTGCTTGTTACAGCATCTCTTAAGTTGCTGGAATTCATACTATGTTGAATGTTGAACCTAGCTAGTCTTGTTTAGAACAGGGGGCAACGCCAAATTTCTATTTCTTCGCACACTTGATGGCTGATTAGAACTTGAGTCCGGTGAGGAGACTCGACTCGGCTCTTCTCGAGCTGCGATGCAGCCTTGCCTCTGAGAAACTCTGGAGGAACAATTGAAATTCTGAGAAATCGGAATTTGGGCCAATTCTGCACCCTCATCAGCATGCTAAGGTACCGGTACAGATGACACAAACCAGACTTGGCCATACCGGTACCGGTAGCGCTACTAGTAGCTAGCTAGCCAGAGTTTGGTCCGCTTTGGCCGCTGCCCGACGTGCACGTGTGCACATGCTGTCCTGTCCCGTTTCGTGTCGATAAAGAGCTACGCTGCCGTATCTTATCGGTGTTGCAGTTAGTGTTGCACTGGACATATCTTGTTGGCTCAATCTGTTGCTTGCAGTTTGAAAGGTTGGGCCGCCTTGTTGGAACAAACTCATCTGCTCCTCTTCTGCTTCTCATCAGAATCGAATCGCTCTTGTAGCCCCTCCAACTGCATGTAGCTGGTCTTCAATAGAATGGCTAATTGAACTCCATCCATTCAAGAATCGTTCCACAGGCAATTGACCATGTGCGCCAACAAACGTAGGCGTGGCCATTGCAGTGTCAAAAAGTGGACCCCATCCGTCTCCGCTTGACAGGATTGCATATCGTGATCATTATAGATGGCAATGGTCAACTTTTTATTGGATGCTCGTTCTTCCTTGCCGAGTCTTTGTTGGGCAGTGTCAAACCATCGGTACAAACGCTCATTCAAGAGCACGGAACTGGACCCCACCATGGTCGCTTGGTGGCAATATTGATCCAATTGTTCATCGGTCAACAATGGCGAGTGCCGGGGATCATTTTCCAGGAACCAACCTCGCGTCTGCTGGACCCTTTGCCGGCATTCGTCGTAGACGTCTTGCGGATCCCGGTCCTTGTCACGGCAAAGCAGATTGGTCGTCTTGAACAGCAACAGTCGAGTGGTGCCCATTTGTTGGGCAATCTCCAACACGGTATCGAGCCATTCTTCGTAGTGAAACCACATGTACATGTTGCAAGCACGGACATTGCGCCGAAACAACATGTGCGTGCCCCAGTTGGCCAGTATGATTTGCGGTTGGCGTTGTCGCAGTTTGGGCCAGACGAGCTTGTCAAAGGCACAATTGTCCAGCATGTTGGTGCCACGAAATCCCGTCCACATGACTTGCGCATGATTGTAGTTTTCATAGACAATATCCTCGTCGGATGATAATGATGATTGTGGCGGTGGTGCCTGACGAATGGCATCCTTCAATTTCATGTGTGACATGTTGTCTAGAAGCGCTGGCGTCTGATTATTCATGAGTCGTTTCATCCATTCAAAGGCGTTATACTCGGTAGAGTCTCCTAGAAAGACAATATTGCGCCCCCCAAAGGCTCTCATGAGGAGCGTGTGGTCTAGTTTGGGAAAGGTCCATTGTTGCTGCGTCCATGTTTTCATGGCCCATTCTTCGGGATTGTCATGCATGGCCTTGGTAAAGGCAGGTATACTCCGGGACATATCTTTGCAAGCTTGTTCTTCTTCTTTGGTGGGAAAATCTGATGCTGACTGTTTTAGGGAATTGTCGGTACTCAAACTAACAGATGGAGTATTAGTATGCATAGTTGAAATTTCATTGTTGGTTGGATTTGTCGACTGCAATTCTTCTCCTTCTCCGCTTATACCGGTAGCAGGCAGAGATACCTCCAAGGATATTCCCACACCAGCAGCTTTCCGTGTCGCATTGCGATGGAATTGGAAGGAAGATTCTTGCAGGAATTGGCCCAGATAGGAAGAAGAGGAACAGGTGAAGATCAAGAGGAAACAGACCAAAAGTGACGCCACCAATCCAAGAGCCCATCGGCATTTTCGCGCCCAGAACGATGTTGGTATTCGATCTTCTTCTTTCTTCTTCCTATTTGGATTCTTGGGCATCCTGCTGATACCCTCGCTATCTCCATCAACAAAGGGAAGAGTGGAGACTGACGATGGGTGGTGGCATGTTGTTGTTCCGAAGCATGGTGCTGCCTCATCATTGTGCTTTTAGTACCGCCTGAGACTTTAAAACGATTTAACGATTCCATTCTGACATCGGCAACACGTCAAGGATCTTTCTCTGGTACAGTATGACTCCGGTACCACGGTACCGGTACGGGTACAACCACCTGTATCTAGGATCCAATAAATCCAGAGGTGTCGCGGATCAGATCGCGGTTGCCATCAATCCTCTGCGACCGCCAATCCGCCAATGCTGCTCTCAATCATCTGTAGTGACCATCTTATCCAGCACTCCGACAGGTATATTTCACAATGAAGACCTCTCATTGTTACCATGTCTTGGCAGCGCTCAGCTTCTGGATTCTCGCAGTGGTATATGGATCGGAAGCTGGAGGTACCCTCAGCCAGAATAATCAAGAGGAACCATGGGTAGTCCACCGCGTCAAAACATGGCTCGAAAAGCACAAGGCAAAATTGTCGCGACTGGTGCATCGCAACAGCAAGAACAACCAAAAGAATCAAGACTCCTTTGAAGCTCCTCGCGTGGTGGAAAATTTCTTATCCGCCGATGAAGCTACCCAATTGTTACAACGCTATCAACCTCTGTTACATGATTCGCAAGAACGCGATGGAGGACACGTCAAATCATCCTCGCAGTATCGAAGTTCTCGGTCGGTACGATTGCCTCCTCTTGGAGACAAACTAGTCTTTGCCGTGGAACAACGAGCTGCGGCATTGGCGGGATACCCGGTCGATCGGGTCGAAGATTTTCAATTGGCATGTTACAATCATGCACAACTGTACGCCTTGCATCGCGACGATGCGGCTGCCAATACGAATCCTAATACCAAACGGGTTGCCACGGTACTCATCTACATTCAAGCTCCCATAAGAGGTGGCAATACTCTGTTTACCATGCGACCATTGGAAGAAGAAACTGATTTGAAACTGCGACAACCATTACGGACCGAACAAGATGCCGTGGAGCTATTTCAACACTATTGCAAAAGCCATTGTCGACAACCCAATAAGAAAAAGCGATTTAATAAGCATCATGTGGTAGTGGAGCCAAGTGTGGGACGAGCCGTGACGTGGGACAATTGGAAGAAGAACAACACGGTATTCATGAAAGAATCCACCCACGGGGCATGTCCGGTCTGGAAAGGACAAAAATGTGTCATTCAGCAATGGATTGCATCCGACGCGCTGCCACTGCGACGACACAATCTACTCGCCATTGTCCCACTGGGAGCCGAGTATTCGTACCATTCCGCCATCCATGATACTACTACTACGAGCGCCACCCAAAACTGTTTCCCGGATGTCAGCACACAACAAGGCAAATACATGTCCGAGCTGTGTGCGGATTTGTCCACCAGCCTGTCGACGATTACAAAGCTCCAGGAGGGTCCGTATGAAAACGTCGGAGCGTTGCATCTCGACAACACTGGCTTTTCGACTACATTACCGTTCCACACAATATTCGCAGACAATGACGACGACAATACATCATCATCATCCAAAGGCTGCACACTCTTGTTTTGGGTCTCCAAGCCACAGTCAGGACTCACGTTGGTTTCCTGGGAGCATGACAAGCTGGGACGCATACAATTGCAACAGGTGGAAGGCTTTCAGTTGGAACTGTCGTGGGCCGGTACAGCAAGTAGTACTACCGTTGACAACAATTCATCCTCCTTGGCCATTCTGAGCATAGACCCCGAAGATTGGTATGATTGGTCCTGGGTGTCGGTCTACACGAGTCTTTCACAAGTCTCTGTGAAGGTACACTCCCGTGGTGGTTATGTCTTGGGACAAGCACTGGCGGAGAGTCCACATGCAACAACAACTCGTGATGATGAATCTTGTAGCACGGCTGATGAACAACCATCACAACAACAAGTCAAGTTGTCATTGTTCACTGCTACTCTAATGACCCACCGTAGTACAGACGACGGCAAAGCAGCTGCCAGTGGCACTTCCACTGCTTTTGTGGAACAGGAGCAAACTGCTGCCTTTACCAAAAAAGCACCAGCCAACAACAACAATATTGTCCTGCCTTCGGTCGATGTCTCCTTTTTGCTTCTCTATAAAGGGCGTTTGGATGACTCGGATGCCGCCCAATTGCGTCGTCAAGCCAAGCGATACGATGCTACGTCCTAGCTACGGTAGCAAAAAAACTGATGCACGATAGACAGCTGTCCCGGTGGCGGCTGCGCCTATGTACGAACATGTGCAACCATTTTCACTACTGGGCAAGGCTGCCTGATGTTACTGTCAGAGCTCTCTTGAGGGTCCCCCGAGGCATAAAAGTTTGCTGCGATCGGCACCGTACCTTGCAACGGGGGTAGGCCAAAACAAGAGCTTGTTGGCTATTGGATAGCTTCGTGACGAGCCTTGAGATTGAATCATTCAATCAAACACAGTTTCCTCTAACAAACATCCTGTACCGTCAGTGGGAAGGACCATTGCGGAAAATTTGCGACAGATACCACGCTATAATACCTTATCCTACTGCAGCCTAGCTAGCACAGCAGCCCATACAACTAATGGCCCCCATACAAAATGATTTCAAGTCTCATATATGGTGGATTGCTTCGGCCGGCAACGTTCACATCAAGCCAAGACAGTAGCGGTAGCTCATCTCCATCCAGCAAGCTCTTGTTGTCGTTGAAACCTCAATTCCTTGGAAAACTCTAAAGCCAGTTTTTCCGAACGAATGATATCGTCCTTGCTGCTTTTGTTGTCGTCATTTTTGGTCACTCGACTAGCCCACATCATGGCTCGGAACTCTTCAAATGACAATTGTCCATCCTTGGTGAGATCGGCTTTTGCAATCATAGCTTTGGCTGCCTTTTTGGAGATGACCTTTTCATCGGGACTAGGGCCATTCAGCACACTCATGAGGTCGCTGACCGTAATGTAGTTCGTTTTGGAAACATCAAACTCCTCAAAGGCTGCTCGGAGATGTTTTTCACTCATCAAACTGGCTGTATCCGCAGCTGTTGCCAGAAATTCTTTCAAGTCAATGCTACCACTCTGCAAGCAAGCAGATGAAATGGGTGAGATGATGGTGTGCCACAGCTCAAGCTTGCTACTGCCATTCATCATTACCTACCTTGTCAAGATCCATCCGGTCCATGACTGCCTTCAACTCCTTATCAGACAAAATAATATTGACAGAGGCGAGACTGTTGGCAAGCTCTTGTTTGGTCAATACTCCATCACCATTAGTGTCCATAAAGTGAAATGATGTAGCCAGTTCAATCATTGCCCCATCATTCTCATATGTCAAGTAGTTGGCAATGTAGTACGTGACCGTATCTTGCAGCTTGTGCCGAATTCGTGCTTGTGTCAAACTCTTCATGACATCTTCATTGATGTACTGGTCGTGGGATTCTTCCACCTCCTCTTCCGAGAACAAGTTTTTGAGGTTGTAGTGATCATTCTTGAGAGCCCTCTTGGCAGAGGGTCTCTTGGCAGGGTCCATGTGAAGGGCATGATGGATAAACTTTTTAAAGTCAGTGCTCTTGATTCCACTGTAGTCAATCTCATTGGGTGGGTCCTTGGATCCACTCTTGGGGATGGTTTGGAAGGGGTATTTTCCCGTGAGTAGGTAGTTTGCCAAGATCCCCAGAGAGTAGATATCACCCTTGGGTGTGGGCCCTACTTCATAGTACTCGGGAGAGTCGAAATGTGACTTTTTGCGTTTCTTCTTTTGGGTTGTGGTAGTGTCGTCCTCCTCATCATCGCTATCGCTATCACTGCTGTCCACGGTATGATCCGTATCATTTCCCAGCAGCGCTTCTTTATCATGATTGTCCAGATCCACAGACCCGTCCGGCTGGATAAGGTGTACACCTGCCGCTTCCAAGTTTGCCACGAGAAAGTCTTCGAGCATGTCGTCTGGTTTGTCGGGATTGATGGTCACCAAAATGTTCTTGTAGTGGATGGACCCATGTGAAATGGCGACATAATGGTGAGGTTCTTCCTTATTGGAAGTATCCGTATTTTTGACCTGCACATGGTGGGTGTATTCCAGTCCAAACAAGACCACACGGATAATCATTGCGACATCCTTTTCCGAGTATCGTTTGACTTGTGCTACCTGATGAACGGCATCAATGAGATTGTACATGTTGTCGGTGCGTTCAAAGACAAAGAACAGATGTGTCTCATCTTCAAAACTTTCAAAAATGCGTGGAAAGTAGGCACTTTCCATGGCTTTGAGAATGTTCAATTCTTCCCAAAAACTGTCTTCCAATTTGCGTGGCATAATCTTGACAGATCGAGCATCTCCGGTAGCCTTGAAGACGCACTTGTAGGTTCTGGGTAGACCATTGATTTTTTCACATAGCTCGTATCGGTCCTTGAACTGAGGCTCGGATTTGTCTTGGCGGCAGTCATGGTGCTTGGTAAAGCCATGGTTGTTGAGTATCAACTTTCTCGTGGGATCGCTCTTGAAGAAATTCATGGTGTGTTTGTTAGGGAAGCTAGCTATCTGACTAACTTGGCAAGATAAATTAATGGATATACCGATGCTCTGTCAGGTTATTGAAGAAGAGTGAAAGGGAGGATCCCAATGTGTGTGTGCTTCGTGCTTGTGGATAGATGGCTCTGGTCGACCTGGTATCATCATCTTCCGCAAGCCACCGGCATCAGTCACTTTCTCGAAGAAAGATGAGGGGTGACGTTCCCGAGCCGTGCCGATGCTGCTTCCGTTTGATAGTGTTCAGGATATCTTCCGGGTTGTCACACCCTCAGGCTCGGTCCTATCCAAGCTTCGCACCTTCGGGGCTTCGCACCTTCACGGCACTCAATGATGACGTGTTACTGGCGAAGGTGGAATCAGTTTGCCTCTCTCTTTTCCAATCTTCGCACCTTCGCAGAACGAGCCAGGTGGGTTTGATAAACAGTATTTTTGGTCACATGCAATTTTTTAACCTCGATAAAACTCACGTACCCAACAAGTTGTTGTCTATGAACAACCCGACGCCATCACAACCTTCTAAACAATTGAAATAGTGTAATGCTGTAGACAATGTAATATCTCTTAATCTCTCTTGTGATGTAACTATCTGTATATCTAGTTAGAAGTTTGGTTACTATTCGCTGTATGCATGGCTGCCGCTGGAAAAGTCGCAGAATGCGAGTTTTCGCTGTCTTTGGAGATGTCGCTGTTTTCTTGGAGAGGAGTTGGTTCGAAGCACTAGCAGCTCACAAATCAACTGAAAATGAGCTCTCCAGAGAACGAATTTCCTTCCTTGAAGAATACCCGGCTATGCAAATCTGACACAGAGGATGAGGATGATGATGATCTCTCAGAACCACAAGTTGAACCACCACGAGTTGCTGCCGCTCCTTCCCCATCACCAGAGGAACCAGCACCACCTCTGCCTCTGTTGAAGCCACCTCCATTGAACCCAAATGGTTTCTACTCCATACACAATACTCCCCCTGGTGGCTTCCATCTCAACATCCATGACTATCAGCATAGTCTGTGGGGAGCTGCCAACCCCGATCATCGATTCCAACCAAGACAACCCAGACTTGGCCCGCTTCCAATACAGGCATCGCCAATGGCAGCACAATCGCTACTGGAATTCGAGTGGGTAGAGAGGGAACACCTCAATACCATCTCTTCAACTTGCAGAAGGACCTTAACTCTGCACAGATGCGACAACTGGCAAAGAATTTCGGTTGCAAGAACATCGGTTCTGCATCAATGTTGAAGTGCAGAAGAGAGATAGCTTTGGCAATTGACATGGGCACCACCTACGACAATATGAAAGTTCCAAGTACAGTTTCGTCTTCAATGGAAAAGAAGATTCAGACCCTGGTCCGGCTAATAAATGCAGTATTCCTTCCGGCCTTTATTGACCGCTTTCTAAAGCTTAATGAACGCTTTGATCGAAAAGCCTTTGAGTCTAACAGTGGTCAAAATCCAATCAAGCGATTCTGGAGTGAGGTGTCGGACGTTTACAATGATGCCGAAAACAACCTGGAGATTGGGATTGTCATGTACACTGATATGGACGCTACGTTGAACAGTGCAGAATACGACGAGTATCTACAAGCTGCAGTTGACGGCCAGTCTATCAACCCAGTCGATTTCAACAACCTCACCAACACGACCTGTCAAGTTCATTTGAAGGATTTGCTGAAAGCAAGAGAGCAAGTGATTGTTGCGAAGACAGCCTCTGGACAACACCAGCCCTTCAACGATTACTTGCGCAAGACCCATCTGACAGTGAGAGGAACAACAATGCCTGGCCTCCCTGTGTATTATCTGGACAAGCGAGTGAAAGAACAACCCAACATTGACACGGCACACAACGTCTTCATGCCAAAAGTGCTCCAGTCGGACTCTTCTGTGGCAACTGCAAGAGGAGCAACCGCATCCTCCACTCCCCGTGACTCTGACACTGACCAAGAACCAAACAGTGGGTCCAAAAGGGATCGGCAGATCATGCAAACACTTGAGAGAGCGGCATCTGCCTTTGAGAGTGGTCAGGAAGCAGCTGCGAGTGTACGGGCTTCTTTTCTGCAAAAGGAGGAATACAAAGAATACGACAAACTCGTGGACCAGTTCATGGACATCACCGATCTTTCCGGTGGGAGCAGAAAAAGAAGGAAGTTACCACACTTGAAGAGGCGCATCCTTGCACTGGAGAAGAAGCTCGAAATACCCAAGAACGAAAGTGTTATCGACCAAGAGACCGGTACAAGTACAAGTGAAGACGAAGACAACTAACAATATAAACTAGTTCAGTGTTGCTGTTTCGAGGGACTCTGTTCGCTTCCTTTTCTTCTTGTTTTTCTTGTTCAGTCGATTGGATGCAGGACGAGTTAGCTGCAGTTTCTCCACTCTTCGTGCCATCGCTTCGCGCAGATGAGAGTACCCTCCAGCCAATCCGTCATTGCTCTCCATGGCTGTAAGTTCAATTGGGTCTCCATTTTCGTCATGTGGTACAGAAGGCAGATACCCAGAGACACCTTCAGTCTCGTCATAAGCAACTTCTTGCATTGGATCTCGAGCGGTCTTCTTCAATCGCAACCTCTCGTTTATCACGAAGTTGTGTAACCTGGCAACTGCCTGTAAAAGAGCACCGACGTTAGTGATAGAGACAGTCAAAGGGCGCCACAGAATACCCCACTTCATCTGCATGATACCAAATGCCATCTCCACTCGAATGCGCAGTTGGCTAGCATAGAAGTTGAAGTTGTCATACAGTGGGTTCATCCTGTCGACACCCTGGTACACTGGGACCATGTGTTCTGTAGACTCATAAGCAGCATCCCCAATAACACATATGCCCGCAGGCAGTGCTTCAACCATTGCATGTAAATTGCAGCGGCGAATAGCCTCACGATCTCCAGTGACATCAGGAGCAGTCAATGCAATGAATTGAAAGCGACAGTGGTGATCGGCTGCAGCTTGAACATTTACCCCGTAGCATTGATAGTGGCCTGAGAAGTAAGATCGGACGTTTCCAACATGTCTTTTGGCTGGCACTCTGGTTCGCATAAGATAACCATCTACCACAGAAACACAGTTGTTGATGGCGCACTCGTGGCTTATGCTGGTAAATCCATCAATAGCTTCCAGTACGTCTTCCGGTGTCTTGGGGAAGTTAATAGACAACTGGTCGCACTGGTTAATACTATCAATGGTTTTCCAGACAACTCGATAGAAGGAAGATTTGGACAAACCACCAATATCACAAATATCAAGATAGGAGCCACCAGCCAGCCAACGTAGAGTGCAATAAAGACATATTTCTGGCAATATCGCCCCTCCTCTCTTGTCTGCATAAGTCACATGGACCAGAATATCAGTGTACACATAGCTGAGCAGAAGGTCAAATGATTCTTTCTCCATGCGAAGACGTCTAGCGAAGGTACCTCTCTGCGTGTGTCTACTGCTGTAGGAATCCCATGCCAGCCGTTGTTCGAAAAAGGAAGCTGCTCGGTTAACTGGCAATAGCCGAATAGCAAATATAAACAAGATAGTCAGCAGTAACAATTCCCCGTTCACTTCACCAGACATGAGCTGGTACTCATTCAAAAGGTCCATTGCGATTTCTATCTTTATGTAGATCTACATGATGTACTCTGGATGGAAAGTTCTGTATTCAGCCAAAATTGTGAGCTCCCTTCTGCCGAATTTGGTTCTGTGGCTGGCACACTCGCCTTACTTAGGAGACTCCAACAGATCATAGGAAAAGAAGAAATACCTTCGCCGCTCCGTAAAACTTGTAGGCAAATGGTTGGCGAAGGTGTTTCTTCTTTTCCCAGTCGGGTTTGATGTCCTAGCTGACGTAACGGCGAAGCGGCGAAGGTGCAAAAACTCATGATAGGACCAAGCCTCAGCCCTCAGCGATTTGAGAAGTCGCCATCGCCAACGCACATGTTGCATCCAACTAGCTAGCTTGCTTGAAAAAAGACAGACAGCAACAAAACCCATAGTACTGTAAGAGCTATCATAGCAACATCTTGGCGACCTTTCTTTGGCAGCCTGAAGACAGATAGCTAGCTAGAGGAGACCAACTCAAAGCAACTTCTAAAGTCCCCCCTTTCGATAGGATATCCAGAACAGGAGATAAGGAAAGGGTATCTACCTATTTGATCTTAATATTCCATCATGGCAGCGCTGTCTTCTACCGGCACCACATTGGAAATCACACTGAGCGTGGCGACGGTGGATTCTTGCCTGGATCTGATTCAAGAAGCAGCGGCCCACCAACATGTGATGAATGCCGTGGTGACTTTGGAAGGCGTCGATAATCGAGATGGCAACGGAGCCTTTTTGGGAGACGATCAAATCTTGCGTTGCTTTTCGGCCATGGCCACGCATCTGACACCACAATTGGAACACTTGCGCTTGGAATGGAACATGGTCGCTGCCAATTTCTTTGAACTACCACCCGTCTTGTCCGTCCACGCATTGGTATTCATCGTCCAACACTTTACATCCGTCAAAAGTCTCTCGCTCTATCGGGTCAAATTGGCCGGCAATCCGGCGTCCTACGACGAACTGACCGCTGCCGTTCGACAGAATACCACCTTGAATACCATTCGCGTCGAATTCTGTGCGCCGCTGGGCAGTCCCAATTTAGATGCCGTCGTCAATTCGTGGAGTCAATTGACCGAATTACGAGAATTGGAAGTCATTGGATTTCAGGGCGATCCAGCACGAGGATGTACGTCAACGTCACTCCGGAATCTGGGACAACCACCGCACATTCGGACCCTCAAACTTTGGGGGGGAATCTTGCAATCGGAAGATCCACAAGCCATTTCCAATCTAGCGAGAGGATTGGAGCAGACCAAATCCATTACCGACTTGGAAATTGGTCTCTTTCAATTGGATCTCCCTTCCGCTCAAGCACTCGCCAAACTCTTGAATACCAACACGTCGCTCGATCGAATTTGGTTGGATGTCAACAATTCACTCGAACCGAAACTCATCGAACCATTGAGTCAAGCCATGAAACAAAACACAACCATCAAATCCTTTAATCTCGTCAGCACCACCAATCACGAGGTATCCGACGATGTCCTCGAACTGTTTGTGGAAATGGCCAAAACCAATTGCACCTTGCGACACTGTACCATTCGGGGTTGTAGCACGTTTGTATTGGGCGGTGGGGGTCCACAAGGACCACCTGTAGTGTCTCCGTCGCTGGCAGTACTGCGGGACGCATTGAAATTCTACCTCAAACTCAACCGCGTCGGACGGAAACAGTTGCTGGCCAACAGTCGATCACGCCATCGATGGCTCAGTGCTTTGATTTGTGAAGCCAATCAGACCAGTGTCATTTACTATCTCTTGCAACGCAATCCGAGCTTTATCAGTCAGTGCGTCCGACTGGGTCCCACCAAACGCAAACATGTGTTGGTGGCTACTGATGCTGCCAGTAGTATGGACGTACCGCAGAGAAAACGACCCAAGCGATGTCGTCTCGTGACGCCGTGAGCAGCCGCTTGCTCTTCTACTACTGTTTCAGTTTGTCTTTGGCAGCGGTTATAACTTATTTGCTCATTATTGTGGTGCCGGCTACTGTAACATTGTTTTGTGGTTACTGTAACTTTTAAACGTGTCTTGAGCTGAGGCTGTATGTCAGCCATCGCGATTCCATTTTATGTTGTATCGTAGATCTTGATTGCTATGAAGTTAGATGCCACCAGCGTGTTGTCAGGCGGACACAACAACGCGCGGCAAATTCCGTACCGGTACGGTACGAGGAGTGTTGCTGTCTGATGCCACCATTGAGCCGACCTGAAAAGCAGCAGCTGTACAAACGTGGCAACAAGGGTGTTCAGCAGCCAGGACACGTCCAGCGATGATGGACAATCCATCATCAAGAGCTTGACTACAAATACATTGCTCGGCGAGCGAGCTAAGGAAACCAGCTCGCGTCGTCTGGAGTAAGCCATTTCTTTTCAGTAGAATGTTGTGAAAGTAGCATATTCAGCGGGATACTCAGCTATGGAGATGATAGAAAGGACGGCTCTTTGGCTGCTGTTGGCACAGTTCCCCCATTCAAGCCAGGACGATGGCGATGAAGTGCTTCAGTGTTGTCGCTTTGAACGCTGCAGAACGGGTGTCCCCATCCAAGCAAGGGCGGCCGACGGTGATGTAGTGCTTCACACTGTTGTCGCTTTGAACTGTGAGAAGACACAACAACTGAGTGCTCTCACCAGCAAGTGGCCGCTACATGGTGCCCCGCCGTTTCCAATAAAGCAGCATCAGTGGTCAGCTGCGACAAGATTCGCTGAGCTGCTACAGACCCCGCGCAACAGGCACCCACAGTACTGGATGGCGCAGTACGGTACTGCTGAAGCAGCAAGCATTGTGTTGTCTCGTCATGGCAGCCATTGTGAATTGGGTTGGGAAGGACGAAGTGCTTCACTTTTGTGGCCTTGAACGGTGCACAGGCAGCAGGCCATCCTGTCAGCAACCCGACACCTGCGAGACGATTCAACAACGGAGTGCTCTCGCCAGTATCTGGCCCGGAGCTTCCTGGTGAAGAACACAGCAGCATCATTGGTCAGCTGCGGGTCAACAGTGACAAGATTCGTTGCACAGCAGACCCCGCGTTGCACAGGACTGGACGACGCAGGTACTACTGATCTGATGAAGCAAGCATTGTGTCATTGCAACATGATGTGAATTGGGTTTGGAAGAAAGTTGTATTTGTTTAGTATCGTCAAGCTACCGGTAACTGCGCAAAGTGAATTGAAAAAGCCAGCTAGCTTTCACAGGACCGCTCCAAATCAAAGGGATCGTTTCACTTCCATCGCACCACGTTTCGCTTCACTTGAGTCAGTCAACTGAACGCTTTAGTTTCCCCAAGTACGAATAATGGAACGGCGTTTGGTGGTGTTGATTTGAACATCATTGCAGCAGGTCAAAAAGTAAGCACTGACACCTCCAACAAGACCAACGGCGGCTCCCATGCATGCCAAGAGAGGGTATGTGGAAGGATCCGAGAGCCAATTCTTGGAAAAGTGTCCGGGCTGCTTGCGCATGGCCAAAAAGGTAGTGGAAACCTCCGGGGTCTTGCTCGACATCATGCGGCGTTGGTTGGCCAATGTCATGCTGTAATACAAAAAAGAAATAGAACCAAATAGTTAGAATCGAAAGGAATCTAAAGAAAATCGAGAACCCTCTGCATCATTCCAAAGAAAATTTCTTCTTTTGAAGGACTGCATTGTCACCATTTTCATGGCTGATCAACTTACCGAGCGGCGGATCGGAAAGCAGAGTTCATGGTGATGCTTTTGTTTTGGAAAATAGAAAGGAGGAAGAGTTGGTCTCTCTTGCAAATTATGGCTCTTGTGCTTTCTTTTTGGTGTTGTTGATGGATTGCATTGTTGATCTGTTGATCTTCTTCCAGCGGTTCTGCGCCGTGATGTTTTGGTTCTGTGCCAAGCGGTGTCTTTGGCTTGAACAGTTGGCTTTTGACACCAAAGATACCTTTTGGTTCGGTGTGTGGGGTATTTCTGTATGTCTTATATTCTTTTTACTCTGTTCTTTTACCCTATCTACCCCATAGATTTCCCTTCGAAGAACCTCTCCTGGTACCGGTACGCTCGCTCGCTCTTCTTCGGAAGGTATTCGTGACAAAATCCTCATGACTGCCAATCAAAAAGATCCAAAGATCGCACACAGGCTTCTGCAGCAGATTGTTGGCAACCACAATATACCAGAGATTAACCTCATTGGGTAATTATGATTACATTGGGTAATTAGAAATGTAAACGTCGTAAAACTCAGCAAACAAGCCACCTATCGCCCATCTGTCGATACAGTATGTGTCGACATCTATGTGACAAGCATTACATAATAGTAGATGTCGACTCGATACTCAAAGACTATCGAGCGAGAAGCTGAACAAGGTGCCTTGATCGCTGTTTTCTTGTTATGGCCGCTTTTACATTTTGGTAACACCCGGTCGGAAGATGCTTTCAGTACCGGTTGCCTAATTCCATTTGAAGTCCTTAATTATTTGCCTCACAATTTGAGACTTGCTGCCACGGCGAAAATCCTTCGATTTCAGTCAAACCGCGAACGATCCATCCATCAACTCCCACATTTGGTCTATCCACAAAGCTAGGAGATAACATAGGCAATGGGCTCTCCCAACCGGAAGAAGGCCCGCAAAGCCAAGACGAAGGAGGGATCCAACCGGCCTATCACTTACAGCAAGATCGGGCTTGACCGTTAGACGCGGCATTGATAACGCTGGAAGAGAAAGCAGCAACGAATGGTGGCCGTCGACCTGCTGGAGCCTTGGCAGAGATGGTGAAATACCTTCGAACATCATCGACTTATTGCGCTAATGTGACAAAGGATACCATTAACAATCATCAAAAGAAGCGGATGAAACAAAAGCGCGACGCGGCAGAAGACACGACGGCCAATGCCAATGCGCCGGAAGCGCCGGAAGCCGACTCGATGGAAGCGACGGTAGTCAACCGTGGAGGACGTCCGAAGGGAACCACAATACTGGCGAAACGAACCAAAGAAGAGAATCTTGCTAATGCCAAAGATTGGGTTGCTACGAAATATTTGGAAGCCCAAAACAATGCTGCTGGTCGCGTCAAAAAAGGAACGCTGGACGCACTCATCCATCAAGCCGAAATAGAATTCAATCTGCAGGATGGCGACGTCATACGGTTACGTCTAAACTCAGTCATGCCAAACTAGACGGACAGTCAAAAAGTGGTTCAGTCAAAAGCTATATTCCATGCCGGCAGGGTTGATCAAGAAAGTCATTTCACCTCCGGTCAAAAGCATATGGACTTAAGCACGGTACTCAAGGCAAAGGGAAGGCTAGGCCATTCGGCCTGTGTTTGGCGCGCTCATGGTAGACAGTAAGCAATACACAGTAACATACTAGTAGTGTGGCTAACAGTTCCATTTCACATATTGTTGCTCGGATCAGCAAAGGAGCTCATTGACACCAACACCAAAGCTTTGACCATGACAAGCCGATTGATTGCAAACAGGCTGAAGACTCCTCCACGGAGGTTTACAGTGCAACAGTACACTACCTCTCCTGGTGGCACTAGGACTGCCCATGTTTCAATTCGTTCGCCCAATGAGGTTGCATTGAACAGCAACTTGGAGCAGTCTGTATTGGAGATGAGGGAGGAGCTGCGACCAACCAACACACAAAAGGCACAAGATCCCAAAGTTTGCGAGTTCTTTGAATACTGTGACCATGCTTATGCGGAGGATCTCTACAGGTATACATTGACATATGAAAAAGTATACAGATTTTTCTATTATCTTGCATTTCGCGAGCAAAAGCCCAAGGGAGTCACCAAGGAGCAGAGGGCACTACCAGAGGAACAGCGCACTCACTTCAATGCTGAGGAATACGACAAAATTGTGGATCCTAAGAAGGATACTGCGGCATGGAGACTGACACGACCAGCCCCTGAAAAGCCCATCAGCCCATCTGTTTTCACTGCGTACAAAGCTGTGATTAGAAAAATCTACAAAGTTCAGATATCAAAGCGAGTGCTTGGTCTAGCATGGGATCTACTATGGCAAGAGCCTTTAGAGGAGCTATGCAAACATGTCAAAGAGAGGAAGCCAATGAATGACAAGAAAAATTACAAGGAAAAGGTGGATGGAGAGTTTTCGCCCTACATGATCGTGGAGCACTATTCATCCATGGAGGAGTTAATGTGGCGAGATAGCCAGCATGCAGTGGGCTTTCGGTCAGTTGCATGCTCTCTCAGACACCGGTATTGTCTGCTTCACTTGACAACAGGTGTCCTTCGCTGTGAGAGCTTGCATCGAGCAGAGTTCAGCGACTTTTGGGGCCTGAAGATGCCAAAGTCTGACAACGATGTTCATGCTCCATTTGTTATGGTCAATCAAATCCCCATTGGGAAAACAACACATGGCAAAAAACAGTATGGAAGAGCCACATGCCACAAGAATGTTAACCATTGCTGCATTGGCGCATTTGCCTTCATGACCCAGTATCGCTTTCATTGTACTGGAGAGTTTCAGCATTTTACTGTGGATGACTGGTTGGACAATTCCAAGTGGTTTGACATTAAGATACTGGCAGATGTGGCTTGCCAGGACACTACAAAAGAGATGCGGAATGACTCTTATGCTAAGAAGGTTAAGTCAATGCTGGATCGCCTGAATCTTTGTTGCAGCAAGATCTTACACCTTGGCAGACGTCTTGGTGCTCGCTTATTGGAGTTTCTTAATGAGGAAGCAGAAGCTATTCGCCAAATGGGACAGTGGAACAATGGCTGTTTCGACAATTCCTACAGTTCCAAGCTACCCATGGGTCCCATCCGTGCAGCAGCTGGCTTTACAGGAGGTAAAAAGGGTGTGTACTTCAACACTCGGACATCTGTAATTCCCCCAGAAGAGCTCCTTGTTCAAACACCAATTGGACGATGGTGCTATGCTGCGTACGATGCTGTTTGCAAGGCTGCTGAGAAAGGCAAGAACATGACAGCCATCACGGTGTTGGCCTTCTTCTGTGAGCTTAACACCATCTTCTTGCAAGATGCCGCAGCCATGATGCTGGAGAGTCCAGACAGAGCAGATCATCCAATGTTTGAGGAGTTGTCTGTATTCCAATCTGACGAATTTGCTGTACGTACTACCATTGATAGTTGTACTGACGCCCTCACATTTTCTAACTGTACTGCTACTACTTTTACATGTTTCTAGGACTACAAAGAAAAGATGCGATTGGCTATGGAACAAGAAAATGATCCCTTTGATGCCAGCATTGAACGCCTTTTGCCTGGTCTGCATCAGTGGCACACAGCCAACAATCAAGCAGTCGGTTTGCTTGGAGAAAAGATGGACTCCATTGCATCTGTTTTGTCAGAGGGGATCAAAGCACTTGTCGCCCACACAGAAAGAGCAGAGATGACCCGAGTGGAACAAGACAAAAGGCTTGCATCTTTACTGGAAGTTGGTTCTCGTGTATTAAGAGGAGAGGAAGTGTCTGCATTAGAAGAACACGTTGAGGGAACCAGAGCTTTTCTACCAGAGCTTATGGATTTAAATGACAACGATTTAGATGATGACAACAGTCCAGCTGGTGCAATTGACATGACCTTTGAAGAAGAACCAGTGTTAACTGGCGAGTCACCTCCGCGAATTCAAACTGTACAGGCAATTACAACTACAACACCTGGAACAGTGTCACCAACTCCAGCAGTACCCAACGAACGATTCTATTTACAACCCAAGCACCAAGCTCTATCATCTCTGATGGAGGAGTGGTGTGGTGTTGGAGACTTCCCATGTCCTCTTGGTGGTGTGGAAGGGCGCAACATGAAGTATGGCAAGAAGTGGCGATCTCACCTGACTGCGAGCCAAAAACAGCACTACTCCAGGACAGAGCGAGTAGTCAAGGGCATTCGAAAGTTTGCACAGCAGCACAATATGGAGGATTTTGTTGCATGCACAACACTCCAAAAGGACTACAAGGAAACGTGCAAGTGCTCTGTGGCAAACATGATTAACTACTTTATTGAAAGGGGCCTTCTCGAGAAAGGCAAGTCCAGAGGACGTACAAAAAAGTAGAAGTAGAATAACAGCAATAACAAAGTAGCACATCCATTCAAAGTCTCTACGGTGCTTTGCAGCTTTGCAGCAGCGATAGTGCTGCAGTGTCAACTTTAGAGTGTTGCTGTAAAATAGTGTTGCTGTAAAATAGGTGCGTGACCTTGAAGTTGTCTTGGTAAAAAGTGAGAAGATGTATTCCGAGTCAGTCACTGTAAAAGATGCATGCTTCTTTTTTTAGTACCAGTTGCCAAATCAAAGCGAACCCCTAGGGTTCACTAGGTTGATGATGAGATGATGAGCCGTTGAGGTTCGCAAGCTCATCAAAAATGATGAGTTGAGCCCATCATTTTGATGAGTTTGAAATTCGCCATGCAGTTTTGAGTTTGGCCTCTCTGGATAGCTCGCATGTAGAAACCCTACCAGGAAAATAGACTTCCACCGAAGTCAAAACCAAAACTGGAGTCAAAATCCAACTTTGACTCACTGGATGGAAGCATGCACAAGCCCCGTCAAAGGACGATCCTACGAAGAACAGACTGTACTAATATCAACATATTATTATTATTACCAAGCCACCACACAGACGACACCCACACAACCACAACCAAACGACGATGAGCAGCACTGCCAACGCCAACGCTACCGCTACCGCTACCAGCAAACCACCTCCTCTGAGCCATGAGACGATTCAAAAGCGACTACTGACTGGTTGCAGCTCCAAAGGCGGCGCCCGAGGCTCCTTGACGCGGTGTGCGGCCAAATTGGGAGCGCTCCATGCCAAACTGTCCGCCCAAGGAGGATCCACCGATCAAGAAATTTTGACCGTCAAGGACGACCTCAAACGCGAAATTCGGCTCTTTCAAGTGGAAATGCGCAAAATGATTGTCATGATTCAAAGTGCCGAAACGGAATTGAGTCATGTCCAAGAACAATATGGCGTCTGCACGACACTCGTTACACGCAAGCAAACGGAGCTACAACAGCTGCGACAACAAGCCACCAAAGTGGCACGAACCCGCAGTTGTTGGCAAGAATACGAAACACTCGCAAAGTTGGCACGACAACGCAGTCCACGACGCGTCTTGAAAGCCAAATTGGAAAAGTCCAATGCCGATTTGCAGAAAACCAAGAAACAACTCTACGAAACGGCGGCCGAATCCAAAGTACGAGAAAAACAATTCCATTTGCTCATTCAATGTATGCTCGATTTGAAACGATCGTTGGGAGAAACCGTCGAAATACCACCTCCACCCAAAGAAGAAGAAACTGCCAAAAAGGAAGAACCGACCAAACAGGAAGACGCAAAAAAGGAAGAAGAAGAAGAAGCTACTCCCAAGAAAAACGAGGAAGCCACCAAAAAAGCGGGGAGTGACACGCAACCCATGCAAGTGGAAGAGGAGGACGATCTCTATGGTGGGTTGCCGTAGAACTAAAGAGAGAGTGGCAGGCATTTATTTGTCGGACCTTTGATTCTGGTTTCGTCGTGGGAGTGGTACTGTGTCTCAACTAGCTAGCTTGCGAAGATATTTGTATTGTTATAGTGCTATCGATTTGATTAGTACTGATACTGTTTCTAATCGTCCGGGTAGAGGAGGTCTGGACGCTTCAATTCTAGCTCGGAAAGACGATTAGGAATATGCCAAAGAAGGATTGCGAGGGCATGAAACGCTTCGTTTGGAGATGTATGGCTGCCTTCATCGACTGAACCAAATGGAAATCCTACCGGTACATCGTACAAGTAGTAAGGTAGTCGGATTCCATTACCTCCAATCTCGAAACAACCGAAACAATAGCAGGAAAACCCAACTGATTGCTCATTTGATTTTTTCTTGCTAAGATACAGTCGTAGCAATGTACCGGTAGGAAGGTAGTCGGATTCCAGTTTTCTATAAGCTCGAAAAGCAGGATTACCCAACCGGGCACATCATATGATTTTTCTTGCTAAGATAGCAATGTCCTTGGCCACTCCAGGTCATCAGGGCAACCATTGACACGACACCAACCCGCAATCTTCCAATGTTCTCCTTTTTCTGCTGAAGATTGTGACTCGAATACAACCCATGGGCTAGCATCATTTCTGGAGGCCCACTTGAGGATTTCATAATGTGGTGTCTTGCAGGCTGCCCAATGACAAGATGGACGTCTATCCCTGGGGCAACCCGCCCCCACACCAGTGCCCATCATGCATCATGTCATGCTCGCAACCATTGTCAAGAGCCCAGCACGTTAGAGCCTCCAAATGTCCAATGATGCAGCACCAAAGCATGTGCTCTCATCCCTCTACTAGCTAGTCGGGTACTCGAGTAGTAGGTACAGCACCGTGGTACTGGTACAACGGTACGCAACCGCGCCTTGCCCTCCAGCACAAGAATCCATCCACCGACGCGAAAAAGGGAACTACAAAGGTCATCAATGCCAGTCCAGGGACCTTCAACCGTGCTTCGACAGGGAACATGGTACCGGTATCGCGCCTCATTTTCTTCTTTGTCGATGGTCACCGGTACATGTACCACAACATCCTGCACTGACCACAGAATATCAAAGATTGGAAGCAACCAACGAAGTTCGAAGAAAGCAACAATCGCACCATGACAGAACCAAAGCTCGTCCATAGAGATGAGGATGCATCAGATGATGAGAGCGCCGTAGGAGAGCACGATGAGGCTGCCTTGCCAATGACCCAAGAAGAACGGGAGGAAATTGCCAAAAAGGAGAACCGCGCCGTGGCTTGTTTTCGCCTGATTGTGCTCTTGGTGTTGGCCGTGTCGTGTGCTCTGGTCACATTCGGTGTGCATTATTACATGACGGACAATGAGACTAGTGAGTTCGAAGATCAGTTTCACAGCGACGCCAACAAGGTGATTCAAACTTTTGGGAAACACCTCGACAATACATTTGGCGCCTGCGACGCCTTTGTAGCCAACATTATCAATTACGCACAAGCCACCAAATCGACATGGCCCTTTGTGGCGTGATCCAATTTCGCCGTGCAGGCGGCCAAGCTGCTCCGACTGTCCAAGGGGTATCAGGTTGGTGTGAGCCAAAATGTCCTGCCAGATCAAAAGGACGATTGGGAAGCCTACGCTGTGGCGAATCTGGATTGGATCCATCAAGCGTTTGATGTCATGGAAGATGACGAAGATTGGAAACATCCTGTCAACCGAGAGTTTCAGACAATGCCCATCTTTGGCTTTAACGGGCCTGTTGCCGAGCCGGCATCCTGGAGTGCCCCGAATGGAACGGGTGCTTATGGTCCTTCCTGGACGCAGTATCCTGTGGTCCCCGAGTCATTCTTTGGCTTTCCCTACAATTTTGATGGTTGGCAGGTCCCATCGGTAGCCGAGACTTGTCGCAACGCTTACGAAAACAAAAAGGTCACACTCTCTTCCCAATGGACAGGTATCATCACCGATCCTGATGATCCGGTGCAAGTTCAGACGGTCGAGGCATTCTGGGCGTTTGCTCGTCTGTTTGTACCGCATGGCTACATTGTCGAGGAGCCCGCAGGATTGGCCATCATCCCCATGTATGACACTCTGGAAAGCATTCGAGTCGACACCACGCAAGACTTGGAACCCGTTGCCTACATGACATTTTCATTCTTTATCAAGGAACTACTCAAGGACATTCTACCAGAATCATCCAGAAGACTCCACGTTGTCATTGATTCTGCTTGCGGAGTCAATCATACAGTCACCTATCAACTGGACGGAAGAGAAACGACATTCCTGGGAGCAGCCGACCTGCACGAGTCGCAGTACAATCATCTCGAGTACAAAGCAACCTTTGGACAAATGATGGATATCACTCAGTCAGGAAGGGCCAGCTCTCATTACACGGGCCTCCCTTTGGACGACACTTTTTGTACTAAAAGCTTTCGAATCTATCCCTCTCAAATCATGGAACAAGAGTATAGGTCATCCACGCCTGTGACCACTGCCATTATTGCCGCAGGTGTCTTTGTCTTCACCACAGTTGTCTTTCTCATTTACGACTTTACGGTGGCTCGGAGACAAAAGATTGTTCTGGGAAGGGCATTGGCCTCGGGAGCAATCGTCAATTCACTCTTTCCGGAAAAGGTCCGTCAACAACTCTACGAAGAACGACAGGCTGAACAAGCCCAAATCAAGAGTACCAACGAGTTTCGTAGTTCCAATGTGAGCCGAACAATCGATGGAGTTGCCGACGCGGCAGCGAGCCGACCCATTGCACACTTGTACGACAACACCACGATATTCTTTGCTGACATTGTTGGTATGTGTTTATGCATGCGCTGTGCATCAAAGAAAGCATGCTGTTTTGCAGTTGCACTCAACCCTCTCGCTTGCTGTATATCTCCTATACGCTGCTACAGGGTTTACCCGTTGGAGCTCCACACGTAGTCCTGTGGAAGTGTTTGAGCTGCTGGAAACACTTTATGGGGCATTTGATGTGGTCGCCAAGAGAAGGAACATCTACAAGGTCGAAACCGTAAGTTCATCGGCGATCGTCACGGCTCCACAAAGGTCTGTGCTCTAACGTACAAGTTCCATCTTGTCTCCTGCAGATTGGGGACTGTTATGTAGCTGCTGCCGGTCTTCCCGAAGAGCAAGAGGATCATGCTGTTCGGATGATAAAGTTTGCTCGTGACTGTCGCTTGGTCATGTCACAGAAACTGGACCAGCTCGTTGACACTTTGGGAGCTGATACAGCCGATCTTGGAATGAGAGTTGGTTGTCACAGTGGATCCACCACTGCAGGGGTGCTGCGTGGTGAACGGGGGAGGTGAGCACGCTTCTTTGCTCTTCAGTTGTGGTGTCAGCTCTCATCGTCTAGCTCAACCAATCCTGATGTTCGTTCAATTGGCCGAAATTCAACGCATTCAGGTATCAGCTTTTTGGAGATACAGTCAATACAGCGGCTCGCATGGAGAGCAATGGTGTGCCAGGGAAGATCCATGTCTCAATGGCCACCTTTCAGGCTTTGAAAGCAGAAGGCAAGGGTCATTGGTGCGTCCCTCGCCCCGACAAGATTCATGCAAAAGGCAAAGGGGAGATGCAGACATACTTTGTTGAGCTCAGTCAAATCAGCCAGAGTGCAACCAGGTCTGCCATGCAAACGTCAGTAGCTGAATCCAGGGACGTTGCCAATGACGATCTGGCTGAAATTGCAGAAGAGCAGTTTGAAGAAGAACCAGAGGACTTAAGCCAAGGAAACATCAGCGTGTGATAAGATTGGATATTGCCGCCTAAGTGCTTACATAACTTTTGCAGGATACTGCAACATGCCATGCCGGCTGATAAATCGAGTGGGCGAGGACCCTTGCAAACTGGGGATACAGGTACCGGTACCGTCGTCGTCGGAGAACCTAGATCTGCACCCACACTGCCACGGGGGGCAAACAGAACTGCACCTTGGCGGCACGCACCTCGGTGGCAAAGAATCTGCACCTCTAGGGCACGCACCTCAGTGGCAAAAGATTCTGCGCCTACTGCACCTCTAGGACCCTCACATTGGTGGCAAAATCTGCACCTCCATGGTGCGCACCTCGGTGGCAAACATAACTGCACCTCTAGGGCACTCACCTCGGTGGCAAAAAACTGCACCTCAAGGGCGAGGACCGTGGAAACCAATGGGATATCGTCGTCACCGTTGTCGCAAAACCTCAAGTACATTTTCTCTATCTGTTTGCTGATTCCCAGAAAGGATGATCTTGGCCATCTTGTGCATCCCATCAGAGGAATTGGCAGGCCATGTTACATCAATGGCGAGGATGCTATCTTGCACTAGCTAGCTAGCTTGGCCACCTTGATGTCTCTTCGTGTTGGCTATCCAGCTACTGTACTATCCCTGGTACCATGTACATACTCGTACCGTTATCGTTAACCTTACTGTAGACCCAACGGATCTTCCGGATCTTTGCCGCGAGAGAGCTACTCTGACGATTTAGTCCGGATCCAGAGTTTTCTATACAGGCTGGTTTGCTTTGCAAGTGAAACAAAGAACTATCCTGTAAATAAATTTTAAATTTATATAAATGAGCCAAAATTAACTAAATTACCAAACTTGAAGCAAAACTGAAAATGCAAATGCGAAATACCCTTTACATTAAGAGTCTTCGTTGAGTAACTGTAAGATACTTCACTTTTCTCCTCATCACAACACCATGCTCTGGTCAAGGACTACGAGACTAATGTAGCATGTAAACAACCAAACTAAGCATGTAGATTTGTCTACATTCTTTGCTTGTTGCAGCCATGTGCTGGTTGTAGTGGTAACAGCTATGTAGCAGGCATTATCTTATGTCAAATTAGACCAAGGGGGGTTTTAGAGTAGGGAAATTATCTACGGAAGCCAGCCGGGGCCAGGCTTAAGCAAAGAACAGTCGAAATTCAGGACTAGGTTCTGTGGGATCAGGGGCAAGAAATTGAGGACCATTATTAGATGCTTCATTCTTCTTCCAAATATTTCCCCAAGTTCTCAGCTTCACCTTTATTTCGGACTGTGCCACCCTTCTGCTATCAACGCAATCATATCTATTGATCTGATGGACACATTGTAGTCCATTAGGGAGAATCATACCACTGAAAGTGAGTTGGATCAACGAGTTAATAGCGTCTTCCGTTCGACGACGGCCGGTTGACAACGTTGGATGGCTGGCTCCTCTTTAGTAGTCCTCGACGATCTTGTAGGAACAGCAGATTCACTCTGGGCAGTCTCCAGGCTTCCTTGACTGCATAGGTGTATATATGACTGCAATGGTATGGCTCGGTTCGACCGAATTGGGATCTAAGATCAGCTGGAGCTGTTGCACCAATGAAAAGCAAAAATGAGTTCCCCACTTTGCTAGCAATGTTCACTTCCAAGACCACCAAATGGGCAAGCCACTACCACCACTGCGACCGTCACATCCAAATTATGTATTCCCTATCTCAAAGTATTGCTAGGGTGGCTCTATTGGTTAAAATGCTAGGGCATCTTTGACAGCCAAGGTGGTGTGTTTTTTGATGAGGATGTGTCCAGGCAGGAACAAGCAGTTTTTTCTAAACTGTGTTCACCAGGTGATTCTGGGCGATCCAGAGCAAATCCGGATTTTTTGAAAATCCGGACCTTTTCGTCAGAGTAGAGAGAAGCAACAGAGAAAAGAAACAAGACAGACCACAACCTTTCAGTTTACAAAACAACATTACTGATACCTTCTTGAAACTTTACTGAGCCTCCATTAGACTAACCATGAAGTCGTCTATTCCTCAAATCGTCTTGACCGGATCTTCTGGATTTCTGGGCCAGCACTTGTTGCATTCGTTAATTCACGAGCCTCTGAAGGGTACTGCCAATGCTGCACTCGAGATCCATGCTCTCTACGGAGGAATGGAAGGATTTCCAGAGGCCGTCAGCTCCATGATGAGCAACAGCCAAGTCAAGGTGCATGTGCACCAATTGGATTTGACTGACTCGGCCAAAGTCCAAGCATGGATCGATCAATACGCGGCTGCTCTAGATATCTGCGTCCATTCCGCCGCTCTTTCGGTACCAAGGGTGTGTGAAAAGGACCCCGACAAGGCTCGAGCACTCAATGTGCCCACCACCTTTTTGGAAGGACTCGCCAAGCATAACGTGCGCATTATTGGACTGTCAACCGATCAAGTCTACGATGGGACCAAGGGAAATTACAAGGAAGATGTCGATTCTGTCAATCCGCTCAATGTCTATGGTCAAACAAAAGTGCAATTGGAAGAGCTCGTGGTAAAATTGTCATCCTCCAATGTTTTATTACGCAGCAGTATTATACTGGGTCCCAAAGCACCCTTTTTGCCCGAAAAGGCCCATGGGACCTTTTTACACTTTTGTGCCTCTCGAGAAAACCAAGAAACCACCTTCTTTACGGATGAATGTCGATCCGTCATTGCTACTGATACAGTGGTGCAGATCATTCGATGGTTCTTGCAGAAAATAATGCTGCCAGCTACAAACGAAACGACAAAGACCACAGCCGGTATCTTCCACATGGGAGGCCCCGACAATGTCAGTCGCATGGACATGGCCAAGGCAGCTTTCACACTTTGGATATCAAACAGACTGTCTAGTGCCGGCGGAAAAGGCCAAGATGCCTCCCCAAGAAGTGAAGAGTCCTCTGGACATCACCATGGACAGTGGGAAATTGCAAAATTTGATTGGTGATGATATCCAATGGAAAGGATTGAAAGACATGGTCCAAGACACATTTGCAAAAGGAAAGTAGCTAGAGTGTAGAGAGCTTAGATCGAATACAAATAAAGTACATCTTATGAAAGTTACGCTCTGGAGGGAAACTGAAGTATTCTGTTTCATCAAGACACTGTGATCCGGCATAGGTGACATGTGCTAGGATCGAATCCAATCACAGCAAGATTAGGAAAACGTGAAAGAAAATAGTGGAAGGGCTTCCCTGAAGAAACGCGGATGGCTGCCTGTAGTCTAGTTGTTCTTGCTTCGATAGCTGGGAGCCAGGGGACGATCAGGCTCTAATCCAACAATGGCAAAGGTGCCGTGGATCACCGCCGAGAGATTAAAGATGCTTGAGGAGCAACGGATACCCTCGCCGTACCGTCGGTCCAATTAGAACAGTTCCCAACTCTCATGTTGAGGCCTTGCAAAGTGCTCGTGGGCACTCCAAGGCCCCCCAGTCAACAGCGTCAGAAACAATTTCATATGTAAAACAAGTTCGTCCATTCAAGTTGAGTTACAGTGTTATATCTATTGTAAGTAGCCTAAACTTTTAGAAGGATTTGTTGGTGTTGTGTGGGTAGAGAGAGAGAGAGAAGTGTGCGTGTCATGGACTGTCATGAGGGTGCAAGTCTTGTATGCATATAGTGTATTGTATTGTATCTGTTGGTAAGGCCCCAGTGAGTTCTCGCAATGGTCATTCCCCGGTTCAGTTTCATAAGGGCCTTGTGTATGTGGTTGTGTTTCATCCCTGATTAAATAGTTCGAGTGCGTGGAATAGTCTCTCTTTTGACGTTCAGTGTTCTTTTGGTGATGTTGTGATGAGTGTTGAGTGTATGTTTCTACGGCGTTTGCATTCAAGTACTGAGATGCCCTTGATGTACCTTGTAGTCTATGTTGTGCTTGAGCGTTCTGATGGTGATGTTATGCATGATGATGAGCATGTAGGTTGTCAACGCTCATCAAAGTCTTGCCTTTCGTTGGCCCCCCTCAAAGGAACATTGTCTAGTCCCTAGACAAGCGCTTCAAAAGGTGCCGTCTTTTGTTTCTTGTGTTCTCTGGGCGTGCCTCCATTCGTTGGTGCTGGACGTTTGCGATCCAAATCAACACAGCAAAGCGAAGGATCCCTCGACACGAGGTAAAAGAGCGCGTTCAAGTCATCGTTTTGTGAAGCCAGCGCATCCATCCATTCCATACTGGATGCGGTTCTTCCGAGGAGGCGTTTGCGGATGCCGAACCGATTGAGACGGAGCAACATATCCATCTCGAGAGTCAGCAAAGAAGCACTAGCCTCCTCTTCTTCTTCGTCGAGCTCCTCGGCGACGTGATCCACGTTCATCCACAAGACTTCAAGGACAGGATTGCAATAGAGCATCTTGGTGAACGCATTGGTGACAGCTTGCGTGTCCCTCACAGCCTTGGCGGTTTCGTCGATAACGTCGTACTCGTAGAAGTCATGGTCCAAGCTATCTCCAGCAGTCGTAGTCTGGTCGTCGGTGGAATAGTCGAGAGAAAGCATCCGCAAGGTCCGGTTATCGTGGCACAACGCATCCGCCAGCAATGTCGTGGTCAGGGTATAATCCCGGGGAGAGTTCGTTGGGCTATTATCACTAACGTTCAGGATAAGCCGTTGTATCGAGGAGTTGACACTCAGACACTTTGCCAGAGCTTGTCCCACGGTGGGGTTCAACCCTCTGGCATGCAATGTGAGTTCCTTGAGGCTCGTATGTGTCTCGAGGGCCCGGATAAGAGCACAGGTATCTTGGGTATCCAACCGTCTCTTGCCACCCCAAATCGTCAGAACCTCTAGATGACTTCGAACCAGCTTGACTAGAGAAGGCCCCGTACAAGATCGCGAGTGGTCGATGCTGGTTCCTGATAGAGTAACTTGTTTCAGGCTAGGAGCTGCTGCAAAAGCTCCCAACAGTGGATCCAAGCTATGGGTATCCCTCGAGGGTTCGCAGAATTCCAATCGGAGATCTTTCCAACTACCCGGCCCATAGAGCCCAATAGACTTTTCCAGTTCCACGAAATCCGTTTGGTTGCCTTCTATCACGGCCGATATCTTGAGAGAAACCAAGTGTTTTGGAGCCTGCTGAAAGAAGGCAGTTAACGCCGCCACTGGAAATTCCACGGACGATCTTGTTGTGTTGGTGGTATCCAACAGGATAATCAGTTCTTCCAACCGAGGGCAGATGCTTCCAACGGACGCCAGTAGATGGATCAGATCCTCTCGGGCACAGCTGCTGCCTGATGAATCATCAAGGTTACTACTACATGATGTAGTACTAGTACCCTGGATCACTACCTTGGTTACGCAGGCAGCGATCGGAGGGTTCCGCTGTAGCGAAGCCAAGACAGCCACAGCGGAACATCCCACGGATAACTCGAGTTTTCCAGAGATGGCTTTAAAAATGGTATCAGTGCACACGCTCGGTGCCATCACTGATGTCGTCGTAGTGATGGTGGCACAACTGGTACTAATGGTACCGACAAGTCGACTCTCTCCCGCTGTTACCACCATGGTAGAAAGAAGCACATTCCGATACAGAGATGATGCCAGAGTATACCCAATAAGAAAGCAAGCAAGCTAGGTCACTTCTGAAGCAAGGTTGCTGCTGGATAAAGTATTAGTGGAACAGGGTACAGCACCCACACCACACAGCTGTTTATGGGTTGGAGTGGAGAGTGACGCCTTCGCCATTTCTCAACGTAACGCGCTGGACTATTGCTCTTTGATCCTACAAAGCTAAATTCGTCTCATTGTTTCTTCCACTTTGGAACTCACTTTTGTAGCCTCTCGATTTTTTTCATGGCCGCTTGGCTTTCTCATGAGAGGGATAGGGATAAAAAAGCCTCGGAGTAGGACGGATGACAACATGTTTTGTCCTCTTTTCACAGTAGAGCATTTAATATACTGTGCCCCGACAAACTGGTCGAAAAGAGAGGTGCAGAGACATTCATGGCTGTTGATGGCTTGGCTGATGAGGTTGCAGGGGAAATGTAGAAACGGAACTCGTCACCATACAATAACAGCGAACTGAGTGGGAATTTTAAATGCGGTGTTGTCCGCGTCATCCAAAAGGAAGTTTCTTCGGAATTGATCCCACATCCCACATGCATGCGACATCTGCAGGGGATGTGGATTGGTTGGTGGTGTTGGGTGCTCGGGTGCTCTATCTATCAAAGATCCAGAGTGAAAGATTCGCGTCCGAGTTGGAAAGGCTTTGTCAAAGGCTCTCCTATCACAGGAAAGCAAATACAGCTGTATTCCATCAGTGCGTCAGGTACTACAGTAGCTAGCTAGTACTCTACATGGATAGGAACTGAAAGATACAAGCATAGTTGCTCCCCCCTCTGCTACATGCCTAGCTAGCTACGGTATCGTAGTTAGCTACTACTAGAGACCTGTGCACTCGGAGATCCAGAAGCCCCAAATGGAAGCGTCAAGCCTGACATGTTAGCGGTACTAATACATGAATCTTGGGCATGCAAGTGCAGCAGACTAGCTAGTAGCGCTGTAATATCACATGGGAGGAACGAGGAACCTGCTGGCCGCCTGTGCGCCTGTGCTTTGGTTGATGTTGTATGTTATGGTTAGATACTACAGTAGGTATAAAATCAGGAGAGGTACTACAGGTATTGTTCAGGAGAGGCTGCTGATGCTCTGGTGTACCCGTTGAGGAGTGATTGCTTGCCTGCCCAGAGCCGTTGCATTGGTAACTTCAGAATCCGCCTCTTTGATCAAGGCCGTACCCGGCCTGACAACCGGAAAATGGGTATCTGCACTGGATGATGGTTTTGCCAATATGCTCATGATTATAGTTCCTGCCTGTCTGTAGTAGCGCCTGGAGCTGTCCTGTTTGGGTGCAGGCTGCCTGAAGTCGTGCTGGTTAAAGACCGCCATTCTGAAGTGAAGCAATGAAAACAAAGACGAGAGTCTGTAAGCAAGCACGGAGGGACTACCTTTTGACCCCCAACAGTCAACTTGAGGAACCCAACCGAATCGAACGAACACTTACCTGAGGGTAATCACTTGAATGTGCATTGACTGCTTTCTCTGTCATTATTTTGTCGTTTACACGGAAGCTAGCCGTTTCCAGGGTACTTGCCGCCCCATCATTGGCAGTTGGTTGCGACCCAAGCACAAGAATACCTTTCTTGGTAAAGTCTTCCTGCTGCTGGCGCTCCTTTAGATGCTGCTGTCGGTGGTGTTTCTCGTGTCCCTCTGATGCGTACGAGGCCGGTTCTGCTTCGTCTAGGACATCCAGTGCCATCCCCACGCAGAGATCCGCTCCAATGTTGGCAGGGATTCCTTGCTTGCTGGCACAGTACACATCTGGGGTGATGCCACCACCGACTTGCTCGCCTGTGGTTCGGTCAAACTTGGCATTGCCGACCACTGTGACATGGCGCAGCGCAGGAGTCAAATACTCGGCAACCGTCAACCGAAGGCCGCCTCCGTCGGGCATTGGAAAGGTATGTTGGATCAAACCCTTACCATAGGACTTGGTACCAATCAAGGCCAAAGTACGGCCGTTGTCGTGCAGCGACGATGCAAAGACTTCGGCTGACGAAGCAGTTCCTTCGTTGATGAGAATCACCAAGTTTCGTTGGGCCAGCCATTGCTGGTTGTGGTTCAGGTAGGCATTGGCCGCTGCCGTGTTCCACTGCAGGTTGAAAGGTAACGACGTCGCCGCGTCCGCAACGCTCGTGTCGCCACTCTCGTATGCAGAGAATGTCGATGGTCGATGAAGCCCTCGTGTAGCCGTTTGCTCTCGAAGACTGGCGTAGGAACTGGGAGGAACCCAGCCACTACCATTGTCTAGGTACAGTTCGGGATTGTCTCGTTGTGATTGACGCAATGTCACCCACCGGGGCTCGCTGGACATCATGTATCCCGGATATCGCTTGTCCACGACGTATTCCTCGACATCGTGTGGAGCAAAACCACCTCGTGAGTTCATAGTGTAGCACAGAACGGCATGAGGATCTCGCAGCAGCGTGGATGCCGTCAACATGGCTTCTTGAATGATGCCTCCATAGTTGTTGCGCACGTCAATGATAAAGGACGTAGCACCAAGGTCTTCCAAAGCTTGCACTGCCTCAATGTATCCAGCTGTGGAGGCTCGAGAGAATCGTGTCAACCGAATGTATCCCACCTTTCGTTCCTCGGCGGCATTCCTTTCCTCGTCCGTCATGAGACTCCGCTGAAAGATGGATGGTTGTTGCGATTGTCCCGAGATGAGCTCCCAATGAACAATGGAATTTCCTCCCTTGGTGGGTGGTGGCGAGGCGGATTGTGGCTGCACTGCCGGAGTGCTATCCGCTGACTCCATTCCACTAATGCCACTGGCCACATAATTGGTTGTTGCAGCCTGCTGCTGTTGTGGAACGGGCTCACTACTAGTAGTAGCCGAAAATGTTTCCTCTTCCAATGATTTGGTGGGCAATCGCACTCGGGTTTGTCGATACCCAATAATCACTTCCCTATCTTTCGCCATAGTTTGGGATGACGACGACGACATGCCCACACTTTGCTGTAGTGGATCGGCCAGCAATGTACGAACCAGTGGCTTGGCCAGCGTAAGATCCGAGTGCCCAAAGTAGTATCCGTCGGCTGCATCAACAGTGAATCTGGTTTGAAAGTTTTGATTGACATCGTTTCGTGACAGACCCAGAAAGGTGTAGTCTCCCACGGCTACTACCCGATCTCCCACCGTGATTCCCGATCGTTCGGCAGGGCTATCTGGTACCACCGCTGTCACAACCGGTAGATTTTGGACCACTGTGGCACTCAGTGGAGGCGGGGTTTCTTTTTTGCTACTAGCAGATTGTGGCTGTTTGTTGTTGTTATTCTTGACATGGCTGCTGCCGCCATCCACGACGGTAGCAAGGGTGGGTGATGATCCTCGGGCAAAGAACTGATCTCCTTGATCTGGCGCTTCGACCACAGCTCCAATTCCTAAAAAGCCATCATTGCGAATCTTCAACTCTTGCCAAAGTTCTTCGCGAGTCAAATATTTACTGTAAGGATCATTGAGACTGGAAATGAGCGATTTGAGTTTTTGCACCGTGGCTTCCCGACTGACCAGAGCTTGTTCTTGTCGTGCTTCTTCGCGCAGAGCCCTCCAGCTATTGTAGAATTCTCGTGGTGTGAATCGGACACCGCCAGTATTGTCATAGTACATGGTATTGACCGTCTGAGGCAAGTAACCAAAAAAATGATCTTGTTAGAAAAAGACACAGACAATACTCTTTTTTCCAATAAATTCATTCCATTGAATGTTGTATGTCTACAGTACTTACTCCAACAGCATGGTCAATCAATCCTTCATTGGCTTGCATTTTCATTTCTTGGGAATTTTCTTCTTGACTGGCCATGATATTCCAATACCGTCTTGCCGAGAGACCAGCCCTGACATTGGCCGTGGTTTGCTGTGGAGAGGATTCCGATACCACCATCAAACCACCATCCGCCAAGGCAGGCACACTGAAGCATGTGGAAACGACGAATAGGATACCCGCCAATGCTGTAGTGAAAGAGTGGCTAATCATGGTCCCATTATCCTCAGCTGGAGTCATTGGTGAAGTCGCCCTCTGTTGACTTTCCTGATCTTCATGATGTTGACAATGTAAGGCCACCACTGATTCTTTGATCAACCGTGTAGGTCCAACTCTTCCCACCAAGGAGGAAGCTGGACAAGGCTGAAATGCAGAGGCATTGGGAACTGCCACACAAGCACCCAGCACGAGGTGCAACGGTAGCTTCATGGTTTCTTCAACTTTGAATGGTTCTCCAAATCTGCCAATGACATACCCAACAACTACCTGTCCTCCAATATGAAAGGGTAGCAGAATTTTCAGAGCCTCTTCTCATCAGAATTCTATCATCCACACACTTGCAGATATGGTAGGTGCAAACGACAAAGACAGCAACACCACCACCAGTGAAGGCACAGATGTTGTTCGAAAATGAATTCTTTCCCATGGCTTTATCGGAATTTGCTTTTTTGACATGGCTTTGTCGCTTCCAGACAAAGAATTCTGCTCTGTCACCATTGCGGTTGGCAGCACCGACATGTCTTTGGGCTGTGTCGGCATGACGTGGTGCAACTTGGGCACGTGGCCGCTGAAGCTTTTTCGGTGCGTTTCCACGCTGAGCTTCCACGTATCAATTTGCCACGCTGAGACAATCCCACGCAAACGTGGAAAGAAACCGTGGGCGAGGTTTCAAATTGCGTTGATCGACTACAGCTTGCGTGTAGCTAGTCTAACGTACTTGAAAGCTCAATTTTAGCTCATTTTAGTTAGGCACAACTGCTTGAAGCCATGCCTCGCGTCAAAATGGTCTCAGTCGACTTTGGGTATCTTAGCGGCGTTGTGGAACGAACTAACAAAAAAAAACGACCGGATTATCCAGCAGTCCGGGTGGTTTTGTATCCCAGCGAGCCGAAAGGGAAGAAGCAGCTGCATGAGGCTTTGAGCGACTGTCACGATGTAGCCACAGTCCATTTGAAGTTCATCGATGTAAAAGAATCCCATGTCAACCCAAAACTCTTTGTCGACACCATATTTGAAGCCATGCCTCGCGTCAAACACGTGAAACTTGAATGCGGCAACCAATCAGCAGCAAGAGGAATGGCATCTCTGGTACAGCATCTTCCGTCCAACCTTTGCTCTCTTACCCTCCAAGATTTCACGTGCGAGGACTATGGGGACAATGGGACGCATGAATCTCTCTTTCGTCAAGTTGCCCAAACGTTTGTCCACCTGCAAGACCTTAGTATTTTGTGTTGGCGTAGGATCTCATTCATAATGGAACTTCAGAACATGGAAGATTGCCTTCGCAAGCTATCATCCAAGGGGCTTCAGCGGTTCACAATCAGAGTTGGCCGTTCAAGGTTTGGGCACCACCAAGAAGACTGGCAGCCGATAATTGAAGTCCTTCGCGGCAACCCCAACTTGAAGCGTGTCGAGCTACATGTAGTGTCCTCTTACAATGTCTTCAGCGATGAAACCTTGGAATCGATTCAGTATGGACCAAGGATCCAGCATGCCAAAGAAACTCATTTGTCCAATATGGAACTAGACCAACTTGACAAGAAGCCGGTTCTCAAGCAATTTGTGGAAGCGTTGGTAGAAGTGCAGGATCGAGTGGATTGTTTGTATTACTTTCTATCTCCCCATCTCTCTGGAGTGGACCCTGCCAAGTATGCCATGGCAGCTCTTGAAGGCCCGGAGACAAAGGAAGCAGCGGACAAGAAGGAGAGTACTGCGTCGAGGAAGCGCACCCTGTCTCAAGCAATGGAATAACCAAGTGCTTCTCTGTACCACACAAAACAAGATTACAAAGCACTCGTACAATCAGGAGTGGGAGGTCTCCAAGTACACGCAAGGAACAGCCACATCACCCTTATGGTAGTAGAGTATAATGCTATAGCACAAGACCCGAGAGTCGAACTGGCTAGCTAGACATCTTGTTACAAAGCTACGGGTGGATGCCACACTGTTTAGTCCTTCAGCCGATAATTGCAATGGACTTGAGCTGTCTATGTGCCGTACCGCCGTAGCTGAAAGGTAACATCACTGCACGAGCCACTGGCAAATCCTCGAATCCTCGGCCCGCAACCAGCCGTGGCGGTTTGTCCGCAACCCTATTAGCTCATGGCCATTCTCCAGTCCTCCCGGCCATAATGATGGACGCACTCGTCGTCGTTGAGTTGTTGTCTGACATCATCGAAGGAGAGACGGTCGGGGACGCCGTGACGGTGATCAAGTCTGCCGCGGCTCTCCCGCTGAACGCTGCCCCGTGCACATAGCCCCAATCAAAGTCTCGATAGGGAATGGCTTCCCCGGCAAAGACAATGACGCCTTCAACGGGTTCTCGCAACGTCATGATGGATCGCCAATTGCTCCCGGAAAAGACGCCCCGTGTATAGTTTCGGGCACTCCAGTTTTGGACAAAGGAATCCAACAGGTGCGTACTGGCATTATTGCCACCAAAGACCGCATCCAAATCTTGAATCATGATTTGGACAATCTCATCATCTTCCAAATCAATGTACTGCTCTGCGAATAGTCCCGAGATATCAATCGTGAGGATATTCTTGGAGTCGGCATTGTCGTGTGGTTGATTATCGAATGGATTGTAAAAGAAACGTCCACTTTCCGCGGCAAAGTCCCAGGGTTCAATGGTAAAGGCATCGTAGTAGAACTTTTCTTGGAATTTGAGAATTACCTTGAGACCTGCCAGTATATCCAGGTTGTCAATGGCTTGACGATGCGAGTCGGGCAACGGCGGTATAAATGTAATGTCTTGTTGCAGTATCGGCACGGGTACGGTGAGTATCACTTGTTGGGCCGTCCATGTGCGTCCATCGGCGCATTCCAACACTACCGGAGCCGTCGAATAATCCACTGTGACCACGGCACAGTCGTATACGATTTGTTCCTTCACGGCAGGAGTGGCAATGTGCGTGTCAAAAAAGTCGTACCACGTCGAGTTGACAAACTTGTGATCGTCCGTGGTAAACCACAAGCGTGACCACCAGGAATCATCGTCTTGGTTGTAGCGGTACGAGTACGGACGCCAATCGATCGTCTCGACGTTGACTGCAAAGCCAGCAATTTCGTCCAACATGGAAGGATCGCCATGCAACCATTCTCCACCCAAATCAATAGGAATGCTACTACTGTTGCTGCTCCTGTTGCCGGTCGAGTCCAAAACAGCAAAGTCCTCCAGTTCCTTCACACGGCCTCCAAATCTGTCCCTTGCTTCCAGAATCTTTACCCTCAGGTTGTTGCCGTTTTGAATGAGATCATAGGCAGCGGTAAGGCCAGCCGCCCCAGCACCGACAATAGCCACATCCATTGACGCAGTAGCAGCCATGATGCAGTACAGTACGGTTGTTAGGAGTTGCAGATTGTGATGCGGAAAGGTTTTGTTGGATGGGGAGAAAACCAGGAAAGAAACGGTGAAGCCTCATCATTTTGCACGACTGAGAGTGGTCGCACAGTTACTCTGGATACCGGTACAGTATCTTTCGCAACAAAGATTGCAGCTAGAGTTGATATCGGTGACAGGTCTACCATAGCTAGCTATATCTCGCTACTAACTAAGTTTAGTATGCCAGACCTAGACGATGGCGAACTGTTGGTTCAAGAAGTGATTGCGGAGAATCCCGTAGAGGAACGAGGAATTCGCGAGGAATGGGCCCAGCATGTGGGTTGGCATCGAACAGAGGATGTCCATCTCCGCGGTGGAGACGTCAAGGAACAGTTTCCTCAACCCGGGGAGCAACGAGAAGAAGAAGTGATATCGGCACGAGAAGAGATGCTGGAGGTAAACGAAGAAGAAACACCTGCACTACTGACAAAGAGCAGCATCGGCAACAGCATTGGCAGCCGCGACGAAAGTCTCATGTTGGCAACGGTGTTTGTGGCTTTACTGCTCTTTGGTGGTGGCATTCTCGTGGTAATACGAAGGATGCAAAGATTCCAGGAGAAAAAGAAACGATCTCGATGAAGGACATTCATCTGCCAGACATTGCAGATATGGACCTTGCCATTACTGGCGACTTCTTCATGTTGCCACCCCGTAACATCACACTCAACACACAGGAGCCCAGTCAACAATCAGCAAGTGGTCCTAAAGCGTCGCTTGCATTTGAGATCCAAGTTTGGGGCAATGCCACAAGTTGAAAAAGGAAGAGGGTTGCCACCCCACCACAGGGGCTCCTCTGCAAGGACCACACCACCAAGTACTGGTACTGACTGTCAAACGCATCGCCTGTTGTGTCCACCGAAAGGGTTATTACACCTACAGTTTCGAGCTTGTCCATGTGGCTACCGTGTGTAAGCTATTATGGTACAAACAGGGAAGGGAAATGAAGTGCTTAATAAATGCTGGGAGCTTTCATTCATTTAGTGCTTCAGCTGAGGGAGGGTCCCTCTTCTGGCTTTTTCTTACCTTCCGTAACACTATCCAAGTTGAAAACCAACCAACCAACCAGCCAAGTTTCCAACTAAACCATTCACAGTTGCAGTAGCCGTTGGTACAGGAATCTTAGACAAATGGAGCTTCACATCTATCTTTGTATGTAAAGATCCTGCTCATCTTCCTGCACAAAGCACTTGTCCCTGCAGAACTCCTGATTGATCTTCATTACATTGTAATCACAAGGAGGTAGAGCACAGGCATATGCATTGGCACAATCGAGCCGTGCGGGAGTCAATGTCAGAGCAATCTTCAACAGTTGCACAGAGTGAGGCCATTATTGTGTGTGGAAGAAGAACCAGTAAGTGTTCACATATGCCATACATATGCCAGGCCAAGAGAGACAGGAAATGCAACAGATACTGCAAAGCAATGATTGAAACTTGTTCATGGTCGTAACAAAGATGATGCAGGGGTTTAGCGGTGTCGGTTTTATGATGTGATTACGTGATTACCCCTTTGTCTTGCTTTGGTTGGGATGTTGAGCGGAAGGGTCGCAGCTGTCGATTGTCGATTTTGACGTTATAAGAAAGTTTCTCATTTGAGTTCTCGAACGTGAGTGATGGGCTTATCTCACTTTCTTTTCTGGCATCGTCAAGAGATAACATTAATTGGGGGACTTAAATACTGGGCTACTCCAGAGCACTAGAGCGCTGGTACACCAAAACTCCCTCCACTTTTCAGCATTCAGCACCAGAACCGAAGCTTTGCTGATTGTTATGAGGAAGTGCAACACTAAAAAACCTCCGCCAACAGCAATGGAGGGAGCAGCAAACCATCCTGCGGCTGTCGGGTGTCGGGTGTCTTGCCACTTCCCAATCAACACCATGATGAGGATGAGTTGCTGGGCTCTTTGTAGTTGTAGGCTTGTCCTACTGCTGTTTCTGCTACTGCCATCAAGTTTGAGAGCTACCGAATTCAACACGGAAGTCATGGCTCGAGTGCAAGAGTTCGTGGCGAATTTCATGCAGCTACCGCTGGACTCGACGCTCCGAACGGTCCGGTATCACGATCTGATTGGTTTCCCACGAGACTTGGGAGCGCTAGGACGTGACTTTAATACCCGATGGCTCTTCTTTGAGGTACCCAACCAACTCATGATTGCGCTAGAAGATGGGTCCTTTCTTTGGTTGGTCAATGATTTTCGAGGCGTCGCTTATAGAGAACCTGGAAACAGCTACGCGATCACAATGAATGCCAACAGCAGCAAGGCTTTTACTGTATCCCCACCCGAGATGGAGAAATACTGGCAAGCCTGTGTGGATGCCGAGACGGGTGCTCCCCAGACTTGTCAAAAGAAGGAAGGAAGCTTGTATGTGCAATGCGTCCATGATTGTGCTCTGGAACGGTGTCCCGATGCCGATAGCCAACGCAATTGTTCCCTGGTTCCCGACCTGACGGAACGACGCCGCTGTCAAGACGGTATCACATGGTGTCCGCAATATACGATTGAAAAGTATAATGACACGACAACAACAACCACCCGAGGGTTTGTCCCACGCACCAAGCAGTGTCTGAATGCTTCGGGTATGATTGATCAGCGACCCGGAAATGTCCTAGCAAACTACGAAACGGGCGAGCTAGGAGACTGCTTGTTTCGGGATGGATCGCTGGTCAGTAGAACCTTGGCAGGGGATTATGAGTACTGTCGCGGAGAGGTATGCAACACTACCTTTAGTGGTGGGTATGAGACGCAAGACTATGATCCACGCTTCCGATCTTGGTATGTTACCCAAAAGAATACACAAGACATGGTGTGGTCAGCTCCGTATGCCTTCTTTACAACCGGAGAATTCGGAATGACGTTTACTCGGCCCTTGTACCATCGTGATCGGAGTGATGGCAAGACTGTCTTCAAAGGTGTCATTGCTGCCAATTACTACCTAAAGGACTTGTCGGGGTTCTTGACAACGCAATACAACCAAACAGACAAGTTGGTCATGATTGTGGAAGGAAAGGAACCAAACAATATCATTGCGACGTCGACTGGGACCTTTCCACACAGTTGGGTTTTGAGGGCCAATGCCTCCGTCTCGTGTCCCACGACAGACCAAGTAGAAAGGCGATCCCTTTGCCAGCGAAAAAGGGTACCCATCCTCGAACTCAACAACAATGGCCTCGATGATGCGGATTTGGTCTTTCGAAGAGTTTTTGAGGAACAAAAAGCTCGGGATTTCCCACTCACAGATCTGGTGTATCTCAAAGCTACCGAGCTCCAACAGGGTGACACGGCCTATGCTTCTCAGGGTGGACTATTCGAACACGCCAATGTCAAGTGGCACGTCTTTGTCATTTTGCCTCTGGAACGACAACCTACCGATGCGGCAATGCCCGGTGATCCAGTCTTTGCGGCCGTGACGGTTCTTTCTACGGTTGGTTTTGCCACTTGTCTGGTTTTGTGCTTTTTGTTCCTAGGACACCGCAAAGAGACGGCTGTCATCATGGCCGACTGGCGGTTCACGTGTTTGTACCTTATTGGATGTTCCGTCTTGAACCTCGCCCCCTTGACCATGTTGGGAGAGAACACGGACGAGACTTGTCTGCTCCGGGGCTGGGCATTCAACATGGCCTTTGTATGTGGTAAGTATAGCAATATTCGGCACGGCACTGCCAGTGTCCGTTGCAAGGGAAGCCTCTCACGTGGTTTCGTCGTTTCTTGACCCCAAAAGCCCTCTCTCCTCTGTATGTCAAAGTCTGGCGCATGTTCAAGCTTCTCAAGGCAAGCGCTGGGTTCAAGCGAGTCAATGTTACCAATTTCCTGGCGTTGCTATACACTCTGCCCATCATTTGCATAGAGACGGTCATTCTGTTTGTCTTTAGTTTTGTGGACCCTCCACTTGCCGTGGAACTGGTGGGAGTTGGTAACGGATTAGGGGGCCAATCTATCACCTGCACGAGGACGACGGATGCCTTCTTTTGGACGCAAGTCGCCTATCATGGTACGAAAACAAATCAGCAGCAAGAGTACAGGAAACAGATCAACTTGCAGACTTGGAAACTGACCAATCCTGCTTCCGTTTCACTGGCATCAGCCTTTCTGGTTCTGACGGGCTGCATCTTGGCTTTCCTAACACGCAATCTGCATCCAAAGTATGGAGAGGCCAAGCAGCTTGCATTCACCATGTACAATACTGCCTT